CTTTTCGGGCGCTGCCACAAAAAGCCAGCAAAAAGATATCAAGCTGGGGTCAGTCTACTCCACCAACAGGTCAAACTCCGAAAACCAGCTTTCAAACGACCTGAACCACACTGGGTGCGTCGACATGCTAAGGGCCTGAAAAAAGGGTTAACAACAACAAATGAGACGAAAGTCTCAATAAGTTAACGGCCTAAGCCCCGCTTATGAGGCCTACTCACACGGGGGTCCCTAAGCAGGCAACACAGCACCAACAATACATTATTAAACAACCACAGGCATCCTTACCTCGCCTTGGTACACTCGTTGATGAAATGCATATGTCACATACTCGAAGCATTTAAAGAGATTTTCCATGCATTAATGCATCACAGTCGCGCGTGTCTCGATTATAAGGCAAAAACCCGCTTGGGCAAGTCCCATACCATGCCTAGCAGTTTCTACCCCATAATCAAGCACTATGCATCACACGTATCCAGTTATTACGCCCCCTCGGGGCCACTACACATCAAGCGATCTGCAGCAAGATAGCAGTCTACCGGTATAACCGGGCTCCGTCCCGCCCCGTCGGGCACGGCTACGTCAAACGATCTACAGTAAGACGGCATTCCAATACGGCAACATCAAACGATCTACAGTAAGATGGTATCCCGTAAGGAGCATCGAGTCCCGCCTCGGGCCGCGACAAGGCATCCGGGTATCGGCACTCCGGATAATCCCCCGGGCATCCGATAAATCGGGCAACGTCAAGCGATACACAGCAAGACGGCTTCGACGTGTGACCACACGAGCACACAAGCATTCCGGCCAATTATTATCTTCTCAATTAGCCCATGCGTCCATGAATAGTGCTCACACAATGCCGCATAACAAACCAAGTGGTCACCCATGCAAACAATCAATCAATCTAGCAAGCTTCGATGCCAAACACGTTTATCAACCATAAAGCATCACTATCATTTCTTGGCATAAAAATAAAATAGTTTAATCCCAAAAATCTCATAAGTTTTCCTTGAAAACTTCCGTTCAAAACAATTCATCATATAGTCAATTCAGTATTACTATTCACGGTATAATCGCTACCATTCAAGCTAGAAATTATAATTTGAGATTAAAGACTTTTCCGAAATAATAATAAATAACTTCGGAAATTAATTATTTAACAATATCCAAGAATAATTTAATTTTCCAAAATTCGAAATACTTTCTCAAATCAAAATCATTCAAACCGTTTTTCAAATACGCCAACTTATACGACGAAATCCAACATTGGCATCACAATTTCATGTTAGAAATTTTCCAAAAATAATAATATTTATTTTTCGAAATTAATTATTTAATAATAAAATATTAATATTTAATCCGAAAATAATAAAATAATAATTAATTCCGAAAATAATACTTTAATAAAATAATCGATAACTTATCACAACACCACAATAACTTATCAATACATACACGATAACCTATCGCGCAAACACCGATAATTTAACACCGAAACCCAACTAAACAAACCTAATATTAATCTAAACACAAATTAAACTACCCTAAACAAATTTAACACCCTAAACACGGATTAGGAGTTAACTTTACTCGGCTAACGACGGCGACGACGCGAGGACGACGGCAGCAACGAGGGCGGTCCGCAATGTCCTCGGATCGCTCCGGCGAGTGGCGAACGGGCGCGACGAAAGGGAGCGGCTGTTGTGGGGCTGCTCGGGGGTTGTTCCGGACATGGAACGGCGGCTGGTGGCAGCGGCTAGGTGGCTGGACAGCAGCAAACAGCAGCTGCAACAGCGGACGCGTTCGGCTAGCATGAACGACGGCGGACGGACGTGACGGAGGAGCAACTGTAGATAGCTGTTCGAGGCTATTTGGGTCGGCTCAAGGGCTGATCTAAGGACATAATGGCAGCTGGTGGTGGTGGTTTAGGGTGCCGAACAGCGGCGGCAAGTGGCGGAGGCAAAAGGTGGCTGAACCGGCGAGGACAGGCCGGCGGTGGCAGCAAGTGAAGAAGTCGGGCGGAAGGAAGACCAGCCGAGAAGAAGAAGAGAAGTGGGGGAAATGATGGATAGTTGGTGGGGGCTGGTGGGTGTCAGCCGAGAAAAGGGGGAAGGGAAGAGAGAGAGAGAGGGGAGAGAGGAGGGGGTGGTGCACGTGATCATCCCCCAAAATATCTTCTACATTTTCTTTTTCTTTTTTTTCTTTTTCTTTTTGAAATTTTCCTCAATTTTACTCTCTCAAAATTACTACTTGTCCTCAGCTCGTATACCAATTTACAGGCCAACTTAACCTTATCAGCCTTAATGGCCGGCCTTTCTTGGGTGTGAGACCCAACGGGTTTTATTCGGCTCATTTCCGTTTCTTTCGTCAAATTTCCGATTTTTCGATTCTTTTCCGAAATTGAAATTTTCGATGGCCAATTCGTAAAAGTTACGAGGCGACGTCTTATGATTCGGGTGTGAAATCCTTGAGCATTCGACACTCAAAATCGGATCATACTTCGTGGCCGATCGATCAATCGCAGCTATAGTACATCTCGAACTAACGGGTGGCTGTTGGAAGTAAATACCCCGATAGCCTTACCCATTTGATTAGTATTCCCCGAGTGATCAAGTCAGGGCGAGAATTAACTAATAGAGCGTCGGCGAAATCACCAATTCATAAATCACCAAATTGAGTCGAATTTTCAGGATATTACAGACATGGTCAATGTTCGCGGATAATCATACGTACAAGATATGTGTGATTGGATTGAATGAAGATAATGTGCTTGTTGATGGATATGTGTGTACCTTCGCTAAACGAGGGAATACCACTTGTGGTGTGAGGACTATGAAGTTGTTCTAAAAGCAAAAAATCCGATCCACAAACAGTAACTTATGGCATGCAAGTTGACCTACATATGGTATAGGGGCCACGGTGCCATGCATGTTGGTTTCAATGAATAAAGTCTGCCATACCTTGTACTGAGATATCACTTTCTTTCTGATATTATATGCGCCATTGAGATTTGATCTATTTGCCTTGATGGCGAACTGTTTGGAAGCACTTTGATTTTGTCGTGAAAAACTGGACCGTTAGCTTTACTAAAATGCAATTTCTTGTGAAATTTTTCGAAGTCATTTATGTGAGACACATTTTGCAGCCGTGCAGGGACATATGCAGTTTTGCAGGCCCTTGCTCTTGAAGAAGATGACTTGCCGGAAATTAAAGATGAAACAGTGCCTGATGAGGAAGGCCTAGCTAGGTAAGGAAAAAGGTTCCTCATGTTGTGCCTGTTTGCATCCTTTTGACGTAGGGATGTACTGAGAACTTGATTCTTGGTATAACCTTGAGCTGCCTTTTCAAGCTTACCTGCAAACTAGGAGTTGTTAATGCAATAGAAGAGTTCTAGCTCTCTGTTTATAGGAATAAATATGAGGAGAGCGATAATGCCGGCCAGAAACAGGTGAGCAAGGTGTCCATGAAACAAAAAGCCCTTGCAGATAGCACCGTTAAGAAATCTGCACTGTATAATTGGATTGAGCTCGCTGATAGCGCAGGAAGTTTGAAACAGGATCTCACTCATTCGTGTTTCCCCCGCGAATTTTTTTATTTTTAAAATTCGATTCTTGTCATGTAATTTTAGCCTGCAGTTATTGGACAAGATATTTCTCTCGAGCTAGTTAAAAAGAGTTTCCTCCGTTCTCTGATATATATATCATGCGGATTATTTATTTATTTATTTGTTAAGAAAGTGCATTTGGCAACCAAACAGAGGCTACAGGTGGTTTGCTTGAGGAGAATACAAGAAAGCTCTGGAGTGAAATCTTCTCTTCGCACTGTTCCTTCGAGCTGTGCTTTCTCTTTCTTGTTCGCTTCGGTGCTATTTTGGAAGCTAATGAATCGCCGTGATCAACTATAGGTGTATTCCTTTATTGGCATATGAATAGGGTGAGGACGAGGCCCCTAGAAATGGGGGGAAAAGAAAAGGGAGGGGGGATAAGGTTCTTTTCACTTAGAATTGGATTCGAAGAGCAAGGGTTTTATATTGCTTAACCTTGACACTTATAGCTGCAATAGACTCCCAAAGAATGCTGAAGTCCAACCGCAGCATCAAATGCTGTCAAGTGAAACTTAGATGGCATTCATCAATGACAAGCTCCTTCTTGCATTTGTAAAGATTACATAGCTTCCGACTTAGGGTAATTGGTTTTCTAGAAGAGCAGGCGGATGGGTGGCCCCTGTGACACACCTTGTACTTATTTAATGAGATGATTGCATCATGAGGAAGCATACCCTTAAGTCTCTGTAGTAATCATTAACTGTGAAGCCCAAAAACATGTTTACCTGTTTCTCCTATGTACAACTGCTAATTGAATCCACCTGGTTAATTTTAACCTGAAAATCGTTGATGTGGATGTCGGTAGTGCCACGTAGAATGACTGGCGTCAATGTGGATAATTTTTTTTTATAATATTTGAAAAAAAATGATTTTTTTATTTTTTTCTCATCTTTTTTTCTTTTTCTTTCTTTCTTTTCCTATTTTTCCTACCAAGTCCGGCGAGGGCCGGCAACCCTCCCTGAAAATTACCTTTGGCAAAGGCACGATAAATTTAGAACTTTGTGGACAATTTTACCGAACAAAATATTACCTTTGTCAAAGTTGGGCCTGCCTCTCCCTGAAAACAAGTAGCGCTGAGCTTGTAGCAATTCTTCCTGAGCTTCTGCTGAACACTAACAATATGCTTTCAGTGTCCTAACCACTGCTTAGAGAATTCCAAAAGCATATCTTTCATGCCCATTGAACCAGATCTGATTATGTACCACGATAGCGTATAATACCCGATCCTAGCATGTTATGTTACTCAGGCATTATTTATCTTAGTCAATAGATCCACCAAAAAGTTTAAAATTGAATTCGACACCTCAACAATCAGAAATTTCAAATGTAGCGACAATACAATTTCTATCAAGTAAAGCCACTATGCAACCAAGACAGACAAATACAGGACATCAAATGCTAAAAAGCGATAGCCAACAAGACATGTTGTCATAGAATGACAGGCACAAATCTTAATGCGGCCGATAGTAAGCATACACGGTGTAAAACGTCTGCAGGAGGGTAAGCAGCAACAGGATAATAGCAGCAAAGAGAGAGAGGCATGTCCACGGACTGCTGAAACGTTCCCGGATGAGGCTTCTCCACCAGTGGCTGTATTTGCTTTGGTAGTACTGCTCGCCATAATCATTCACCTCCTTGATTTCGTTGTACAAGTAGCCCAGATCGAGATCGTAAATGGCCTCTCTACACCTCATAAACAGTTCCGCCGCCGCCTTTTCACTTCCCAGATGATTGATGATCCCGTGCTTGCGGAAAATCTGAATGTCCCTGGGGCTATTGACCAAACTGTCCCAGAAAATGAAGTAATTCGTGAAGAAGGGCTCGGGGTGTTTGACGCTCATTTCGTACGCAACGAAATTCAAAAGGAGAGAGACGGTGTTGTCACTGATGGACAACGGAGGGACCCGTAGAGTGCCATGATCGAACTCGATGTCCAGTAAGTCGTGGCCCTTCCACTTCTTGAATTGCATGCCCGCCTCTTGGAGCTCCGACGCAAAGTATCGGACCAGGCCCCTCATACTGCCATTGGGATTCAACCGCGAGTTGACTCGATTCGTTTCCTTCTTGGGGACTTTCTCACTCACCGATTTGAGGAAGGTAGATCGGAAAACATCGAGCAGATGAGCCTTGGGTTTTTCGGTGTCCAACTTAGAGGCAGCATTCTGTTGGGGTAACAGTGGGTCAAAGAAGGTGACCGCGAGTTCTTCCAGCGGCACAGCTTGTTGATGATCAATGTTGTTCTTGTTGTTGATCAGCTCGTACAGTTTCTCGAGAACGAAGAATGGTAGTTGGTTCTCAAGCAATAGAAGGTCGCGTCGAAGGGTTGTTAGAATCCAGGGATTGGTAAGGATCGGATCGTCTTCAATTGCCACCACAGTGGACTGCAAGCAAAAACGATCAATGATTTAAGCTATGACTAACAGAAGTTTGATCACTGCCTAATTTAGTTTGCATTTTAAGCTTCTAATGGAATATTCTTTTGGATCGATCAGTTTGAAGGATAGAAAAGAAGTTGTAGATAGACCACAATTAATTCACTCAAAAAAGTTAAGCTGATAAACGAACAACATTGTTTAATATTTGAATGCCGTTCTACCTTGGTGTGGAAAAGGTCGTAGTAAAGGCGTAATAGTTCGATCACGAAGCAACCATCGATGACCATCATCCGCACAAACTCGTCCTCTCGGTCAATGTAATTATAATCCTCCGAATAACTGGCCAGCGTTTCCCGCTTCAATATCTGCATGGCTTCCACAAGTTCATCCAAAAGCATAGCTTTCGCCATCCGATTACCATCATCATTGTCTTCTTCACGTTCACGGTCATCAGACACTCTCTCCCCCCCTCGGTCGTCCTCAACACATCTCCGTCGCTTCTCCCCTGCTTTAACTTCCCTCCCAGAAGACGGATTAGAAACTGCATCTTGTGCTCTTCCATGACCTCGTATCGATCCGATGAGTATCTGAAGTGACCGATGCTTATCATTGCTGGATCGAATGCGATACTGTGAACTGCAGTCCAGTTGCGAGGGACTCGTCCGATGGTCCACGAACTCTTCGCATCGGAAGAGAACCCTCGGTTGAGGTGGCTCTTGATGTCCATGACCCACCCTGGAGACCGAGGCATGTTGTCATCGTTGTCATCGCCTCGATGCATTGTGGAAAGAATATAAGCCCAAGAGAAATGAGAAATTCCAGGTGGAATCAAGGCTTGTCTATGACAGTCGAGAGTGATTGACGTAGAGGACAAGTTTGCATAATTAGAGGAGTTTTTGTAATATTTGGATTTTTTTGAAAAAAAAAAAGGAAAAGAAAAAGGGGTTGAAAAGTCAAAGAAAATAAAGAAAGTGGGCATTACTTTATAGAAGGAAAAGCAAGGGAGAGAGAGAGGAGACCGAGAGCTCACTCGGCTGAAAACAGAGAAAAGAGAGGAGAGAAGAAAAAGAAAGAGGAAAGAAGAAGAGGAAAGGGAAAGAGAAAGGAGAGGGGGTTCTCGCCGCGGGGGCATCTCGCCAAAGTTGATTTAACTTTGTATTGCAACGCCAAGTAAATATTCGAGCCCCTTGTTCGTTCAATTAAAGTATTTTTCAGGTTAGGGCTCAAATTTTGGAATTTGGTGAAATTCAAGCTGCGTAATCCAATTTTTAAGTCATTAAGCCGCTTATATATATAGAATTGGTAGTTTAGAGTATCGTGGAGCCGTGGGATATTGCGGAACTCGATTTGGATTTACCGTTTGCCCGAAACTAATTTTTGAAGTTAAGCACCCGTGATGAACAGTGTGCAACCAGCGGCTTTTAGGTCGATTTTCGTCGGTTTTTGGCTCGATTTTGGGATGGCCAAGCTGGGGTTCTTGTAGTGCTCTGAATGGGCTTTGTTTTGACTATTAGCTCGCTTGAAACAGGATTCGGTGGAGAAAGTTATGGCGCAATCAAGTTTCACATTCACGCTCCGTGTTACAGACAGCTTTAAATAATCGCTTTGGATAAGCAATTTATGGATGCCTTTTAGTCGTTATGTTAGCGTCAAAGTCTAGTTTAGCCGAGTCGTGATTGAGGTAGCATTTTACTAAATTTTAACGTTGTTTCTAGCTTATTTAATAGGACTGTGAGTTCGACGGTTCAAATAATTTTTATCGTTTGGTAGTAAGCATTTGCTTTTCAGGGGACAAATGCAGTTGAAGGCATAGTTATATATCTACCTGAACCTGAAGAGGTGCACATGGGTGACAACGCCTTCACAAATATGACGAGTCTTAGGCTGCTTGTAATGCGTGGTGCACATTTTTCTGGTGCTCCTCTCCGACTTCCTTCCGGGCTAAGGTGGATTGAGTTGGCTGGATGTTCTATTCCATCACTTGAATTTAATTTTGGCCTGAAGAAACTTATGGTAATCTGAGGGGCAGCAGCTTCAAAAGGCTGGGAACGAGATTCCAGGTACAATTAGCCTTTGCTTTTACGTAACTATTCTTTTCCTTTTCCTATCACTTAAGTAATGGAAAAGAACATCACTATTTAAGTAACATGGCCTGTCCTAAACCTAAGAATAAAAGTGGAACCATTGATTTCCCAAAAAAATACATGTTTTACGTTATGGCGTATGTAGGAACCTGCCAAACTATTACTCAGAACATAAAGCACGTCATCTTTTAACCACAACCTACTGCGCTGTCCAGGCTCCCTAATAAACTCTTGGCGAACAATTTCCCATCCCATCAGCTGCAGCAAATCATGCATCTGTATCACACCATGCTCAAATGCTTACAAGAGACGTCTCTATGAGAATATGTATCCCAATCAACGAATTGAAGTCGCACGCATCTAAAATTTTCATGATGTAGTCTTTACTCTTCCCCCTTAAGAAACAAGCAATGTCAAGGAAAATGAACTTCTCCTGTTCCTCTAATCCATCAAAACTAATTTTGAGTACGTTGTAGATCTCTTCATGGGGAATTCTTTCCAATTTATCCAGTGTGCTCTTCCATTCAGATATGCTTCTACATCGCAAAAAGGAACCTAATACTATGAGGGCCAACGGAAGTCCTTTACCATAATTTATCAACACATATGAGAGGTTCTCATAATCGATTCCAGGATGGATTTCCTTAAAAGCATTCCAACAGAAGAGCTGAAGAGCATCCTGATTATGTAAACAATTGATTGTGTTTTTCCAATCAACATCATGAGCTACTAATACATGCTTATCTCTAGTTGTTACTGTAACGACCTGGTCCGATGAAGGTGAGGAGTGGTCGTCGGGGCCAGAGGGTATAAATAAAGAGTGGCTCCTAGCAGGCTTTTAGGATGGCGAAGGAGGCAGGAATGAATCGAACTATGCACCGAACAGGGAAAGAGCGATCATGAGATATATATGGGAAAACTGGAATTAACTCAAGAAGGCGTCTTTTGACGTAATGGTAAGTTTTGTTTTGGAACTCTAAAGTTAAGCGAACCCAAACCATAGCACTACCAGGATGGGTAACCTCCTGGGAATGTGTCTGCATTTGCGCCAATGGAAAAAATCGTGAGGCTCAATATGGGACAAGCCAAAGCAGACAATTCCGGTCCGACAACGGCGGAGAGTGGTCGCCGAGGCCAGAGGACCTGGATAAGGAAAGGCTCCTGGCAAGTTTCTAGAATGGTGAAGGGGGCAAGAATGAATCGAACTATGCATCGAATAGGGGAAAACGATCCAAAGATATATATGTGAAAACTAGAATTAACTCATGGAGGCGCCTTTTGACGTAATGGCAAACTTTGTTTTGGAACTCTAAAGTTAAGTGAGCCCAAGCCAAAGCACTATCAAGATGGATGACCTCCTGGAAAAGTGTTTGCCTGTACGCCAATGGACAAAACCGTGAGGCTCGATATGAGACGGGCCAAAACGGATAATACCTCGAATAAGTTAAATCCAGGGTGTCACAGTTACAATGATTCTACTTCCCGGACCGAACCAGTTGGGTCCACCCACTCGTTTTCCCAGTTGATCTAAGTAGTCATGGCCACGAAACCGGAATCGGAACCGGCGGTTTCGGTTCATGGCCATGTATGAACCGGAACCGGAACCGCCAGGGAACCGGCTTGTTCCGGGCCGGTTCCGGTTCCGGCCGGTTCCGAACCTGAAGTGTCCGCTGCTCGGGAGTCGATTGTACGGGTGCATCGAATCCGGCGGCAGGACGGCACGTCGGATCTTCTTCTTCTTCTTCTTCTGCTGCTCCTCCCTCGCGCGCTCTCTTTCCCGCCCGCCGGATCGTCACATCGCCGGCGGAGCTGCCGTGGATTCTCTCGCGCTCGCGCGCTCCTGAGTTTTGATGCTTCGTTCAGTTCGTTGTGGTTTGGACTCTGGAGAGAGAGAGAGGGAGGGAGGGAAGGACTTCCGGACCCGGGCGTCGTCTCGATCTCTCGAAGGCTCCTCGCATCCGCGCATCGCGACGGTGATCGACTGGCCGGCGCTCGCAGCTCCTCCGTCGCCGCCGCCGCCGGGGATTAGCTCCATCGGCGCCGCATCCGCGCCACATCAGTCACAATAGAGGCTAGAGAGAGGGAGAGAGCGGGAGAAGTTCCGGTGGGTTATCTTTTTATTTTATTTTTGCCCGTTTCCAAGGCAGCCTTTGCAGGCTGCCTTGGAAACGGGCAGCAGCAGGGCCTGTAGACGTGCAGGCCCTGCTGCAGGTTTTTTTAAAATTTTTAATTTTTAAATTTTTTTTTTGGAACCGGGCCCGGAACCGCCAGTTCCGGGCCGGTTCCAAAATTACTGGAACCGGAACCGGGCCCGTAGGCCACGGGCCGGTTTCGGTTCCGAACCGCTGGTCCGGTCAACAGGTCGGGTCCGGGTTTGACAGGACCGGTTCCGGGCCGAAACCGGCCCGTGGCCATGACTAGATCTAAGTGATCCACATCATCAACTATGACAAGAACCTTTTTTTGGCTAAGTCTATCCCTTACAGTGTGAATTCCTTGATCAACATTGTCAATCTTCAAGTTGACATCCCTCAATGTTTCATGAAGAAGAGCTTCTTGTAATCGAGTTAGACCCCCAAGCTTGGAATTCTCTTGAACATTGGCGAGGAACCAACTGCCTTCAAATTGATCAGCAATAAGGTTATATACGGCTTTAGCAACAGTCGTCTTACCTACTCCACCTATCCCACAGAGCCCCACGACGCAGTTCCACTGTAACTTTGAATTAATCAGATCGACATGCGGTTGCAAACTAACTGGAAAGTCAGCAACATGCAGAGATTTGGGATGCAGCTTGCCCAATACATCTTTGACGAGTGACTGAATGAATGTCGACTCACACCTGCCAAAGGCCCAAAGCCATCTAGATGAGTTGAATTTTTTAAAGGACTATATCATCCTACTGCAGCAGATGATTGTCTGTCATTTCAGTGCCGCTCGGTTATTTGTCGAAAATCTTTTGGTGGTTGGAACGGACACATATAGTAGTTTAAGGGCCCGTTTGGTAACGTGCCAAATAGTGAAAATTTATGTTCTTTTGTTCCCAGAAATAGTTTTGAAACAGAAATGCGTTTGGTAAATTTTTTGTTCCTTGGCACATTTTTGCAAAAATTTATGCCGAGAAACAGTTTTGAAAGAGAAACAAGAAGTAAAAAAAAGTTGCTTCTTGTTTCTCGGCACAATTTTGAGAATCAGTTTTTTTTCTTTTCTTTCTTTTTTTTCTTTTCTTATTTTTGTGTTCTTCTTCCCTGGGCTGGGCCGGCCGCCGGCCACAGCCCAGGGCCGGCGAGGGCGTCACGGCCCTCGCCGGCGAGGGCGAGGGCCGGACCCTCGCCGCCCGGGCGAGGCGGCCTCGCCCGGATCGAGCGAGGCCGAGCCTCGCTCGCCGTCGGTCGCGACGGCGAGGTCGGCCTCGCCCAGACGGCGAGGCTCGGCCTCGCCCGCATCCGGGCGAGGCCGAGCCTCGCCGTCGCGACCCACGGCGAAGCCGACCTCGCCGTGGAGTCGCGACGGCGAGGCTCGGCCTCGCCAGATCGAGCGAGGCCGAGCCTCGCCGTCGCGACCCACGGCGAGGTCGGCTTCGCCGTGGGTCGCGACGGCGAGGCTCGGCCTCGCCGGATCCGGGCGAGGCCGAGCCTCGCCGTCTCCGGGCGAGGCCGCCTCGCCTGTGCGGCGAGGGTCCAGCCCTCGCCGGCGAGGGCGACCTCGCCTCCGCCGGCCTGGGCGTGGCCGGTGGCCGGTCGCTGCGCGACCGGCCATGGCCAAATAAAAAAATGAATAAAAAAAAAAAAAAAATTAAATAATTCAAAAATATTATTAAAATATTATTTGGGAACAAAAATTTTGTGTAGTTACCAAATGCATTTCTGTTCTTTTCTACTCTAGGAATAGAAATTTTGGACAGTTTATCAAACGCCTTTAAATACTCAGAAATTGTTTCCGGGCACAGAATCAAAAAAAATCATTTCTGTTCAGAAATAGCGCCGGGGCACAGAATGGTATTCTTACTGAGACGAGCATGTTCAGAAAGTAAACTGTAATATGGGAACAATAAAGTAAAGATGGGAAGCAGGCACGCAAAAAATGTGAATAATCATGGCAGATTTTTAAAAGTCAGGATTGAGATTACTCATTCTTCTTCAATTTCCACCCGGAAAGGTTAGCGACGCTCTTCATCGCCTCCCTCCATTTCATGACCCGCTCGGCGTTCTCGCTGAATCTGCGCTCCTGCTTCTCAAACGCCGTGCCGAAGGCGCCTTTCTGGTGCCTCACTTGCCAAGGCTCCACGAGGTAGAACACCGGCCCGATCACTTGCTTCTCCTCGTCACGACGGCAACACTCAGTGATCTTTGCAAGCTCGTTCAAACACCAGGCGAACCGGCATAGTTCTCCGACAGCACAACGATGGAGATCCTGGACTCCTCGATCATTCACTCGAGAGCGGGCAAGATCTCGTCCCCCTTCCTAAGACCGTGTTGAATGATCGGCGACGCGGTGAAGGCGAATCATAACTTTGCAATTAAGTGGGGAGCCATAAAATTTTGATAGAGAAATAAAATGATAAACAATATATAAAAGGACACAAAAAATTTATGTTGTTCGGTTCGAATGCCGGAACTTATATCCACGGAGAGAATTAACAAATAATATATTAATAATTTGAAGAATTAGAGGATTATAATCACTCACGCTCAAGTGTTTCTCAGCCTTAATATATACCTAATATCCACAATATTTAATAACTCAACTCAATGGACTCTCTCTCTCTCTACGCACAAGTATTTCCGAGATTACGCCTCTCTTCTGGAGCTCTCTTCTCGGCTTCTTCACTTGTCTCTCTCCTATGCGGTTCTCCTCTTATAGGAGAACAAATGGCGCCCTCTTCATAAGTCCATGCAATTAATGATGGCGTGTATGCATGACCATCATGCACCAACGTAAGAAAAAAATGAACATGACTTCTGCCTTCTTTCTTTTTTTATTTGGACAATGCAATCAAAAATCTCAAATTATATCACTTATGATGAATTTATTTTGAATTTTTTTTGTGACATCAAAAACTCCAAACGATGTACATTGTGACATATTTACCGTATAACACTGTAATTCAATCACATTTTCATCTTTTTCCATTTTTTTTTCTTTTTTCTCTCATCCTTCCACCGACCACGGCGGAGGGAAGTCGGCGAGGGCAACCCTCCCTGGTGTTGGGCGAGGGTTGACCCCTCCGAATCTGGCAAGAGCGACCCTCGTCGGTGTTAAGCAAGAGTCGCCCTAGGCGAGGCTGCCCTCACCCGCCCAGGCCAGGGCAACCCTCGCCAATGTCGGGCGAGAGTCGCCCTCTCCTAAGTCCCTCGCCCCGACACCGACGAGGGTCGCTCTCGCCCGACACCGGCATCGGGCGAGAGTTGCCCTCGCCCAGGTGGGCGAAGGCAGCCCTCACCTGAGTCCCTTGCCCAACTCAGGCGAGACTGCCCTCGCCCGCCCAGGCGAGGCCGACCCTCACCAATCGGCCTCGCTTGAGTCCCTCGCCAGATACCGGCGAGGGTTGTCCTCGGCGTTGGGCGAGAGTTGCCCTCTCCCGAGTCTCTCACCCGACTCAGGTGAAGTTGCCCTTGCTAGATCCAAAGAGGGCACCCCTCGCCGATTTTTCTTAGGCTACAGTATTGTGGAGTAAATGTGTCACAATCAGTATAATTAAGAATTTGTGATGTCAAAAAAAAATCAAAATAAATTTATCATAAATAATATAATTTGAAATTTTCCCTGATATTGTCCCTTCTTCGTTTAACAACAAAAGACAAATGAAGCCTACAAAAGTTGACTTGAAGTCGGGGACAAAGTCATTCGGCGCCCAAAATCTTCTATGGGCATGCATGCACAATTCACGTGTATGCATTCAATGGTGGAGAAATTGAATGTCCAACTCCATTGACATGCGTAAAAGTAGGGGACAAAAGTCAAGACTTGTTCCATGGGCGCATTTAAGTAATAAAAGACAATTATGGGCAGAAGAAAACATTCAATCTTTGCTTCTTCTTTTCTTCTTCCTCCGTCCGCTCAACGCTTCATTTTTGTGCGTGACTTTGAGCAATAAATGTTCCTCGTGTGTATCAGGTCTCATATATGAGCTCAAACTCAAGACACAATTTAACAGGTCATCGTCGTCGACTCCCTTCTGGTGCAGGGAGTGGCGGAGGTGGCCGGTGAAAGTGTAGCGCGTGTCTTCGCCCCGGAAGCTGAGGAACACGTCATGGTGGTAGCGCTTAGGGGTTGAATAACAAGTGTCCATTGAAACCGAGACGATTCATGGCGATAATAGGTGTTCCAGGTTGTTCTGTGCAATGGACTGTGTTGAAGCTCGGTGAACGATGATGATGTTCCACTCTAATATAAACCGAGCGAGGAAGTGGAGAGAGAGAGAGAGAGAGAGAGAGAGAGAGAGAAGAAGAAGAAGAAGAAGAAGAAGAAGGTGAGAGGAAGAGAAGAGGGTGTTTCTCTAGAAGGAAATCAGGTTCTTTTTCTTTGCGGTCCCTTTGAGGAATCATGCGGCAGTCGGAAAAAAACGGTTCTGTGATTTGCAAGTCGGAACCACCGCGCCGTCAGTAGTGGGTCATCCCCATCGTCCGTTCTTCTGGGTCCCACGAGAAAAGAAATATTTTCGCAGCCTTTAGCTAAAATATTTTTGTGCCTTTTCATTGATTTTCGTTTTTCTCTTCTCGCGAATCCCACGTCCACTTTCTTTCGTCTTCTTCCTTCTCCCTCGTGTAACCACCGAGAGCAATGGAAACTTCCACGCTTGATCACAAAGGAAAGTGGATGCGTAACACATAAAAAACATATAAAATCAATAAATAAAAAAAAGTTTTCTTAGAACAGTTGTCGAGGAATGCTAATAATAGAGGGAAATATAGTCAGTGTTTCTTTTCTTTTTTTGTCAGAATATAGACAGTCTTGTAGAGGAGTGTTTCAACAGAATAAAGAGTGAAAAAAGCGTAGCCCTAAAAATATTATTTAAGATTCGTATAAATTATCTTATATATATATTAAAAGAGTTTATCTTACCAATTTCTAAAAATCTTCGAAGTCCATACTCATCTATACATATCAAAATCGACAAACTTTGTATATAATATCTTATTACTCCCCTTTACAGATGCGATGGAAATTTTAGGCATATATTCATTTTACAGAAAGAAAATCCGTACATAAACTAATCGGAAGGGGAAAATTACCAAAAAAGTTATAAATCAATTACACTTTTATCAATTAAATCATAAACATTTTCACATTTTATCAACTAAGTCATAAATATTTTCATATTTTGTCAATTAAGTCTATCCGATCAATTTTGACTAGAAATCACTGATGTGGACGCTGGACGTCTTATATTAGCACCTGTCGTGCCACGTAGGATGATCAGCATCTATATCAGTGATTTACAACTAAAATTGACCGGACGGACTCAATTGACAAAACGTGAAAAGATTTAGATTCAATTGGCATAACTAAAATGTTTATGACTGGATTGATAAAAGTATAATAGGTAAACATTAACCTTTGCGGAATATGACAATGTAATGCTGCCAACAATTTATGTATCATCGTCTCAATAAAAGAATTGTTCCTTTACTTTGCCCATATATCTTTTCGAAAAAGAAGGAATATATGTTCTTGGATCTTTGCAATAATGAACATTAAGGTTCCATTCGTTTAGCGAAAAATGTTATGTTTTTGGAAATTATTTTTCGGGAAGTCATTTTCCTAGAAAATGACACAATTTTCCGGTGTTCGGTTGAAATATAAAAAAGTTTCGGAAAATATTTTTTTGTGTTCGGCGACCGACGGCGGCGACGGTGGCCGGCAATCGACGGTGGCCGACGACCGGCGGCCAACCGTCAGCAGCGGCGAGCGGAGGCCGGTGGCGACGGGCAGCGACCGGTGGGCGAAGACCGACGGCCAATGACTGGAGGGGAAAGAGGGAGGCCGGCGAAAAATGATTTCTGCTTTTGAAAATCGGAAATCATTTTCCGGAAATTTGTTCATGTTTTCCCTCAATGAGGGAAAACATTTTCCGAGGAAAAACATTTTCTGCCCCCCGAACACCGAAAATCCAGAAAATATTTTCCTGAAAAATATTTTTCGCCAAACGAACGGAGCCTAAATGTAAGTTTGGCACCCTTGAGAAAATGCATAATCAGGTTGTCTTTTTGGGGCCACTATAGCTAGGACTCTCTCCCTCCCTTATATTCATACGTGATACTCAACGACCGCGCAATCAACAACGGTTGTAATGGTCACGGTGGCCCTTGCGGCCTTAGGCCAACAAGATGACAGATGATGCAATCGCCGTCGCTGTTTACCGTGAGCCTCACAATCTCTCTCGAGAGCATCGGGCCGACTCTCATTTGAACCCTAAACTGAGTGATGGCGGATCCGCTCCCAAATTCTACCTCTCCCAAAATCTAAGATATGAGAACCTCCACCAACGCTCGTCGTGTACCGTGACTAGACCTGTTAAACAGGTGGGTCGGATGGATTTGGGTCGGATCATAAATGGTCCGACCCAAATTGATCCATTAACCCGTTTATAACCCATTTATTTATAGTGTAAATATCCCGACCCATACCCGATCCGACCCATACTCAACCCATACCCGACCCGACCCGACCCGACCCATATTGCTAAAACACTTTTATATTTAACCTAATCTAGGAATACTTATTTCTTATGATTTTTTTATCAAATTATACTGCTAAAACATTTTATGCAATACAAAGCTAGTGAAAAAAATTTATAATTTTTTTTAAAATTGAGGTTCTGTTTGTTTTACGAAAAATGCGACATTTCTAGAAAATATTTTCCATAAAGTCATTATTCAAGAAAATAAAAAAAAATTAATATTTTTTTATTTTTAAATCGAATTTTTAATTATTTTTTAATTATTTTTTATTTTTTTATTTTTCTTTTTTTTTTGGCCGATCACCGGCCGCCGTGGCCGGTGACCGACCACAGGCGAGAATGAGCTCGCCGGAGGCCGGCGAAGCTCGTTCTTGCCGAAAGCTCGAGCTTCGCCAGCCTCCGGCGAGGTCGTCCCGCCTCGGTGGCCGGTCGCCGTGGCCGACCATCGGCCGAAATTAAAAAAAAAAAGAAAAAGAAAGAAGAGAAAATAAAAAATAAAAGAAAAAGAGAAAAAAAATAATTAAATTTCGATTTTTTTAAACATTTTTGTAAAGAGGGAGAGAGTGTGTGGATGGGTCTAGTAGGTGGGTTGGACATGGGTTCCAAACTCAACCCATTTAGACCCATTTATCTTTAAGCTTTAAAATTTAAAACCCATTTAAGGTTGACTCTTTAAAATTAAAGTGACTCATATGTGACCCATTTATTTTTAAATGGGTCATCTATGAATTTAAGACCAATTTTGACACCTCTAACCGTGACCGGCGTCATCGAGTGAGCAACCATTGCCCTCCGAATATTTCTTAAAAGATGTCTTAAATCCCTAGCGGCAATACTGCACCACTTGATATCACATGAGGTACACCGACATTTTCGTGAAAAGAAAAGCGGACGCATGCACAGCAAGTATTTTCAACAATGTGATTAACAGTAGAGCTGAGATAAGAAAATCATGAAAAGGGATAATCTTTTTATTGGGTCAAAATGAAAAGGGATAATTTTGAATTTTGAATAAGGATTAATACCACGAAAAATCTCAAACTGGTACGCCCATGATAAATTTACCCAAAATTCAAAGTAATACACCTGTGAGTAGTTTCCGTTAAATTTTACTTTTAAATTGCTGAGCTGGACAATACATGGTAGTTGACAAAGTATCAATTTGGGGTTTCACCCTCTGTTTATCACAGATGTACCGATTTGCAGTTTTTCATAATATTAATCTAATTTAAAGAAAATTAACGAATGATAAATTCATAACAAATATATCAATTTAGGATTTTTTATAATTAAAAAATTAATTTTGAATGTATTTATTATAAATATATCAATTAAAAGTTTTATATAATTAAAAAATTAATTAGAGATAAATTTATCTCATATCTATCGACGTATGATTTTCGGTGGTTAGTATTAACCCTCGGAGTAAAAGATGTTTGCTTTGGAAAGATAGACCTCTACTCAGCACTGCAAATAGACCCGTGACCCGGAATCTGTCGTCGATATCCAAACGGTCCGACTCTCTAGTCTCTCCAATGAAGCTGCCCTTTCCCGCTATGTACTCTTCTTATCTGGGTGGGATCTCTCGCCGCGCGACAGAGGGAAGAAGCCATTCTCATCAGCGCTTTCGTCTCCGAGCTCGCATCGAATCAACGTCGCCGGAACTCTCTCCTCTGCACCAATGCCGCTTCTCCACTCGTCGTAAGCCTCTGTCTCTCTCTCTCTCTCTCTCTCTCTGCGCTGCCTCGCCTTCCGTAGAGTTTCGATTCGAAGAGAGTAGAGTTAGAGCTTGGAGTCGGGAGCATAATCCGTCCGCCATTCCGCCGAGCGAGCGTCGGATTCACTCTCCGCCGTTCGAATTCGTGTTGCCGAGTCGATCGAATTGGGCCGTTTTCCTCGTCGCGAGCGTACCGCATCGCTGCGGCGCGGCGCGCTCGGAGAACGTCGAAACCGAGCTGCATTTCGCTGGCCAAGCTCGCCTTTTTGAGGTCATGTTTCGCTTCATCCGAAGATTAGCGTCGCATTCGTAGCTGAGTTTGATCGGTCGTTGTGCTGGCTTCGTCTGCGATAGGATCATCGCCTCGTCCGACGCTGAGGAAGATTGGAAAATCTCGTTGATGGACGGGGGCTTTAGGTTTTCCACGTCGAATTCATGCAATTGACTAGACTTTTTTTTTGGCCTTTTATCTGGTAATCGGATTCTGCTGTGTTTAATGTGGCTTTGCGAAACCTACAGAAAATTGGCGGTCCCGGCCCTCAACTGTGATCCGAACAATCTTCTGTGCCCACTCGTTGGGCACGTTGCAGACATCAAATTCATGCGGTTCGTCTGTCCAAAGCGGAGCATTTCACCTTCCTTTGCCGCGATCTGTTCCACCACCATGCTTGACCCCCTTAGATCATCAAAGGCGAGGGTCGATCCAGGAGAGACATCTGGATTGCGGGAATGTGGCTGGTCAGAAGTTGCGGCAGGTGCTCCTGATAATGACTGCGGGGAAGTAAAACTAAATAGCGAGATTGTCCCCTCGGGATGTTTGAATGACGAGAGCTATAAGGAAAGTGAGAGAAGGAGAAAAATTGGAGAAGCCAACAAAGGGAAAATGCCGTGGAATGTTGGCAGGAAACATAGTGAAGGTAAATCTCTTCTTCAGGAATCCCAAACCTTCATAAAATGGAGTATTTGGAGTTTAGTATCTCTTACACTGTGCAGAGACTCGAAAGCGAATCAAGCAGAGAACAATCGAAGCATTGAGAGACCCCAAGGTGAAGTCATGTAAGATTGATTTGGGTGCATGTTTTTCTTAGCATTGTTGGAATTTGCTGGCGAGCAATTTTTTGTTTTGAATGACCGAAAGATGATTGGAGTAATTTTACATAGTGACTCCTGCATTACTGCTATGCATTCTTGTAGACTTTGTTGTAGAGCTGCACGTGCTCTGTTGCTGGAGACAAGCATCTACGCACCTACTTGTCCTTTTTCTTAATTCACTATTTGTTGTTAATATTGAAAACCTCGCAAGACTTAATTCTGCCTGGATTACTTCCTTTTCATCTAACTCTTTTTCCAGTTTCTATTTCCAGATCAGGCAGAAGATGTCTGAACATCCCCGTACTCACAGGTAATTTGTGTCTTCAGTGCTTGAACAGTCTTTCCAATGATCTAACTCTCTAAATGAAGCAAATTTCACTTTATCAGAAAAACTAGTGAGTGTGCTCTTTATAAGTCATTTCACAGGCCAAGATGCTGAGAGTGGAGTACATGGACTCAACTGAACGCATATTCCATTGAACCTAAAAATGAGTTTGGCTTGCCTTTGTAAGTTACAGAAGGAGATTAGTGAGTAGATCCATATTCCAGTATTTGGAAAATATGATGTTCTGCAGTAATTGAATCATCTTACTGATAAATCTTGGTGCAGAGCGCAGCATTTATTACTTGTATAAAGTCCACGGTGACCAAACATGAGAATAACTTCCCCAAAAAATAAAATAATTTTGTTCAGAATTGCAGTGTATCTGATAAATAATCAGAATCACTTGACATCGATGGTTTCATTTTGTTCAGAATTGCAGTGTATCTGATATATAATTAAACTCACTTGACATTGATGGTTATTTTGATCTACAGATCCATAATATATTAGAAACATAGATATATTTTTTCAAATAGTAGCATCTCTCAAGATTTCTTTCCTCAAATGCTTTGACTTGTATCTGTTCCCCTGGTTATTTAGGAAGATGGTTGCTTTGCAATTCTGGAACTTGCTATCTTAGCTTGTCAAAGTATGAGCAACATGTAGCTGGGACCTCAAACACCCCAAACATGTTTTAAGTTGCCAAAAAATTCTTGCACATATTAAGCCGGAAGAAAGTTAAAGAAGGGAGGGCTCCAAACAAAGATTGTGGCAATTTTAACACGGAAGTAATAATTACTAGCTGAAACTAGATTTGAGTTTTGCAATCTGTCATTGCTTATGCCAGTGGCAAAAAAGTATTTTGCGCGACTGATAATATTATTTTGATTGAAGGACCTTATTCTTATTTTTAAATGTCTAAGAGTCGTTATTAACTCTTTGTGGGGAAAATCAGCTCAGAATTGGTCTAATTATTTTACAGTGATTTGATCAAAGCAAAGATTGGCTCTTCACTTCGGCGCATTTGGAAAGAGCGTTTAAAGCGTAAAAGGTTGAAAGAGAAATTCTTCTCATCATGGGCAGTTAACATAGCAGAGGCAGCTAAGACAGGATGGAGTGATCAGAGAGAACTGGACTGGGATAGCTATGACAAAATAAAGCATGAAATCGATCTCCAACATCTTCATCGGCTTACTGAAAAGGAAAGAGCTAAAGATATGGCAAAGATGAGGAGGGCTCATAAAGCAGCAGAGGCAAAAGCAGCAAAGATGGCTAGGTTTGCTCAGAAGAGAAAAGAAAAGGAGGAAAAAGCAAAGGAACGAAAAAAGATGAAAAGAGTATCATGCAGAAAAACAAAGAAGAAGAAAGATGACTTAGCAGTTGCTCGAGGGATGAAGCTTAAGAAGAGATTGCTGAAGGTAAGTGCAGTTTCATGTCTTGTCTAAGAGAATCATCCTGCATTTGATGCTTTGGACCTTCTCTTTATGTCAGCTGCGACCATAACTTTTGTAGCTCCGCAGTTCATTCTCAACATTAATGCGTCTATTGGTCCTATGCTTTTCTTTGACAGATATTTCGTTTCAGATGTACCAATCTTTTTGTTCCTCCTCAAAACTGTATTAGGCTGATTGCATTTTTATGTTTTATTTCTAGATTAACCGAAAGAGACCCTTAAAAGTTGTCCAAGTCACTGGTCAAGGGGATGCAGTTCTTGCTCATATTCCAGTCTGGGAGAAACTGGATTTAGAGCATATCAAGAGAGAAAAGGCACAAAGGAAACTTTCACTGGCTGATCAGATACAAGCGGCCAAAAATCAAAGCAAAGTTCACGACTTAGAGGCTTTTCTCATGCCATCTTCTGTTCATTCATCCAGTGAGAAGTGAAGTCTGTGAGCTATGCATGCACAGTTGCCGTGTGTCCTGTCTCACTGAAAAATGTGATTATGAAAGGGAAGGTGATCATTTTCTCAATAATGGAGAATCTGCCTATTCATAGCTATATATTATGCTGCATAATGCGATCACTTTGTGCTAAGTGTTATTTATTATTGTCACTGATTTTACCAGCCAACACTTGAGCTGGACACTCGATCGGGTGACCTAAGAATAGAGATGTAAACAAACTTGCTCATGCCTCAGCTGATTGGGTCTCGCTTAATTTCAATTGTTCTGATTCTTTTATTATGCCTATGTTCCTTGGCAAGTCGCAAGCTAGGCTAGATGTCATTACTTGCGGCTAGCATTTAGTGTCTTTCTTATCAGTTGTACTTTTGGATCTTGGAATGGATTGGTTACATCGTTCACTTATCCATAAAAGGAAGTTGCCTTTGGGTTTTCAAGTACTTTTACATTTTGTCACTAACTTGGTTTGCATTTTTTACTCTGGTGACAGGGATTTGTTCGACATCATCACTATCTGGATGTCTTCTCAGCAAACAAAGGCGAGCTTCTTAGATTACCGGCGCACATATGTTTGCTTGGCTCCGTTCCTGGTGTTTTTGCCATCTATCATGTGCACTAGCGAATTATCTTGTCATCTCTCTCTCTCTCTCTCTCTCTCTCTCTCTCTCTCTCTCTCTCTCTCTCTCTCTCTCTGCATCCGTGGGCGCTACACTGTGCTTGCAGTGAGATGCAGCACCCTTGGCAGCGGAGCTGGAAATAGAACCAGCTGGTGAAGCTGAGTTTCCTTCAGAATTCATTCAAAACTTGTTTGTGCTTATGGCTCTTATAAATTAAATGCCAGAAAGCGCAAGCAATTCAGGAAAAAGCAACTTGTCGATATGATGATTAGTATCTCTATAATCCACATCAATTTTTTTATTTTAGTATATTAATGTTATAGATGGACTAGCCCTAGTTAACAAATTTTTTTTGAAAATGCAGTGTGGCACTACTATTAGGGAAAAAATCTGCAATTAGGCCTCTTTAAGGTGGCATTTGCTTTTACCTTGTGATCTTTTTTGCGAATTTCGGAGTACTCACACTTTTTGGATATTCAATTATCGATAAGTAAGACTTGGATTCTGTATCCTTGACTTTAAAAGAAAAGATCATAAGCACAAGTAGAATTCAGAAGCAAATGAGAATTCTCCGAACGTGTGCATCAGCGGTGTAGGCTTTGCACAATCCGAGTAGAATGACGCACGTAGTTACGTTTGTAACCAAGCTGATGCGGACTGTTCATTTGACGAGTTGATCTTGGTATGATCGCTTGTCAGATTGCGAGAGAAAGAGTAAATTTGTCAAACGGGTGAGTCGAGTCGGAATTAAAATAGATCGACAATGGTTTGACCTAAATTGACTCATTTTTATACAATACAAATCTAGTAACTTATATCTGACTCAGCTTATATTACTAAAACATTATGCATACCCAAATTAAGGTGAAAGCATGAAGTGAGGGCGAGAGAGAATGAAGAGAGAGTCATAAACGTCTAAATAAGTTATGAACACATTTAACATCTATATTAAATTCATTTATGATCCATAGAGTTGAGTCTAAATCCATTTATGACCCACTTACTGAATATAATTAATCCATATAACAACTCAATCCATTAAACATGGATTAAAAAATGGGTTTATGACCCATTTTGACTTAATTCATCTCTAACCTCTCGTGATCTCATTAGCTACGAGCCCATGTGAGCCTGATCCTTGCAGGACACAAGTTCTCTTCCTTGGTGAGAATGTGCTTCATTAAGATCAATCGGTTGTCCGATTCCTCCATATTTTTAAGACCCCTTCACTGCATATCTTTATACTATGAATGACTATGTCCGCACAATTTCAAACATCTAATAATTGCACAATTTTTTTTTGAGAAAATTCCAAATAAAGGCATAAAGTGCTTTCATTTTCTCAAATAATGGCTTGAAATTAACCTTGTATCAAATAAGAGTATGAAGTGTCATCATTTTCTCAAATAAGGGCATGAAGTGGTTATGTTAGTCTCAAAAAAAGACCTGACTTCACTAGGGTCAAGGGCATTTTCGTCTTTTAATTTTTTTTTAATTTTTTTCGTTTTTTGTTTTTGTCTTTCCATAAAAAACAAATTCAAAAAATAAAAAAAAGCCAAAGTTAAAAAAAAAAAAAAAAGTGGGGCTAGCCCTCCCGCCTATGGCCGTCGCCCCATTGCCGGTAGGGCGGCAACGATGGCGGCGGGGTCGCCGACGCCTTAGCGAGGGCCAGCTTGAATCGAGAGAGGGCGGCAACCATCTCCCAAATCTAGGAGAGGGTCGTTGGCCCTCGCCTCGATCTGGGCGAGGGTTGCTTGTCCTTGCCCAGTTCTAGGGAAGGGCTGGCGACCCTTGCACAGGTCTAGCGGCCCTCCCCTAGACCTAGACGAGGGTTGTCGCCTCTCCCAGTTCTGGCGAGGCCAGCAGGCTCTCACTTCTGGCCAGTCGGCGAGGTTAGGTCCTTATTTGAAATTGTTATAACTACTTAAGGTTCTTATTTGAGAAAATTAAGGCAATTCATGCCCTTATTTAGATTATTTTTTTTCGCATCCGTCCTCTTTTTGAGAATGGTTCCCAAAATTATGTAGCTGTAAGATGTTCCTAGATTTTTGTGTCCTGGACCTCTCCGGTGGTACATGGATCCATCAGTGCCTCAGTGATTAGATATGATGCACCGGGTCCCGTCCCGGGTCAATGTGCCTCACATCTTCACAAGAACTTCAATCCTTTTGCAAGTACTTAGGTTGATGATTTTTTGACTTCTATATATGTTTCTTATGTTACGTGAACTTATGCACCACACGCCATTGGAGAAGATAGCTCGACAACTAACGCCAACACCACACAGTCAATCTTCTTGTTCACCTGAAAAGACACCCCCCGAGTTGCTCTGCCTTTTCTTCTTCCCACGCACTCAAACTCTCCGCCACCTTCCGACCAACCAGAGGTCCCATATTTAGCATAGAAATTATAATACAAACTCAAGTCAAGCCGCATGCCCCCCTATAATTTTTGCATGCCAACCCCCCTAATTGGCTTGACGTGTGCCAAATAGCAACCAATTTGGTTGTGTTAGCTCATCTTCTTCTATTCATCCTCTTACATTATCCCACTTATTCACATCTCCCTAAGATTCCTCGTCTTTTGCCTCTCCCTCCCAATCTTCCGACTATCTCGATGGCATTGCCGTTGACGGCGCCGGATTCCGGTGGCTGGACAGTTTCATACAAGTTGGAGACAAGGAGTTTGTCCTACAAACTGTGCTCCAAGTTTGATGAGTTCTCTTGGATCTTTCGCAACGAGAATCAAAGCTCGAGCGCAAAGTTCGTTTTGAAGGACGTGAACTGTGAGGCAAGGCCTGCGCAGATCACTGCCATTGCTGGCCCTAGTGGAGCTGGCAAAACCACCTTGCTTGAAGTCCTAGCCGGGAAAATTTCCCGGGGGCAAGTGTCCGGGGAAGTTCTAGTTAACAATCAGCCGATCGATCCCAAGAGCTTTCAGAGGCTATCTGGTTACGTTCCCCAAGATGATGCGCTGTTTCCTTCGCTGACTGTGGAGGAAACGCTCATGTATAGCGCGCTTTTCAGGCTTCACGGAGGCAGAAAAGAGGCCGTCGCCAGAGTGAGAGCACTAATGAAGGAGCTTGGCTTGGATCATGTTGCAAGAGCGAGAATAGGGGCTAAGTCATCGAACAGGGGGATCTCGGGCGGGGAAAAGCGTAGGGTGTCGATTGGGGTGGAACTAGTCCATGACCCGGCAGTGATCTTGATCGATGAACCAACATCAGGACTGGATTCAGCCTCGGCTCTCCATATTGTGAAGATGCTCAAGTCCATGGCACTTTATCAAGGTAAGACAATCATATTGACCATTCACCAACCTGGGTATCGAATCCTCGAGCTGTTTGATCGAGTTGTTTTGCTTTCGGGTGGATTTGTTATTCATAATGGTCCTCTGTCTCTTCTGGAAGAGAAGCTTAGATTCGCTGGTTTGAACATACCGTGCCATGTCAATGTGCTTGACTATGCCATTGATGGTATTGAAGGCTTGGGTGTAGAACCTCACAACCACCAGCATTTTCTCCAAGGAAACGCTCAAGACGGTAATGAAAACGAGGCACCAGGAACCGGGATTGTGTGGCCCTATAAAGGAAAAGAGAAGCTATTCTCGTATCCGAACTCTTGGTTCAAAGAGATTCTAATACTGGGGCAAAGATTTTGCAGAAACATTTTCAGGACTAAGCAGCTCTTTGCCACAAGGGTAATACAGGCCCTTGTGGCAGGGTTTGTGCTCGGCACCATTTTCCTTAATGTCGGAGACAATCTAGGAGAACTTGCTCTACAAACTCGGCTCGGGTTTTTCGCCTTCAGCCTAACCTTCTTGCTCTCTTCCACAACAGAAGGCCTACCCATTTACCTGCAAGAAAGAAGAATTCTGACGAGGGAGACTTCAAGAGGAGCTTACAGGGTATCCTCTTACGTTGTGTCAAATGTCATCGTCTTCCTCCCATTTCTTTTGATGGTGGGTTTCCTCTACTCGATCCCAGTTTATTGGCTGGTCGGATTTCGGAGAAGCACAGATGCATTTTTCTACTTCGCGCTGGTGGTTTGGTTGGTTCTCTTGATGTCCAATTCTTTCGTAGCTTGTTTCAGCGCTCTCGTGCCAAATTTCATCATGGGGACTTCGATTATCGCTGGACTGATGGGATCTTTCTTCCTCTTCTCCGGTTATTTCATATCGAAGGAGAAAATCCCCAGATACTGGATTTTCATGCATTACATGAGCTTGTTTAAGTACCCATTTGAGTGTTTCATCCTGAATGAATATGGAGGTCTGGAAGGGAAAAGCATGTGCTTAGAGTTTGAGAATGGGGAATGCAGCTTATATGGAAGTGGGTTCTTGAGACAGCAAGGATTAAAGCAATCAGAGAAGTGGACCAACATAGCTGTGATGTGCGGTTTCATTGTCGGCTACAGAGTCCTTTGTCTTACCATTTTGTGGTATAGATGCTATAGGACAAGAAACTAGTTAAATTAAGAAGAGATTGTTTTCTAGCCATTCTTTCTTGTTACAATTCTAAACTTATCAAATTGTTCATGATATTATATTTGCACCCACATGTTGAGATGTTCGATAAACTTGACATTAGTAGAAGCTTGCCTTGTATGATTCAAATTAGTGCATAAACTTGACATGAGTTATTCTTCAGGCAAATTATTCCATCTTCGATCGTGCACCGCGGTAAGTTGGCACAAGCACACAGCTAAGCATGCAATGAACTCGCTAAAATTTGGGATGTGATGATTGAGGTATGGCTAATTACTATATATCCTATACAATTTCACTCCGAGATTTTAGCACACCACACAGAAAGAACCCTATTGATGATCTTAGCAATACAAATCTTTAAGTGAAAACCTCTGACATTGGAGCTGAGCTGTGACCTCAATTCTATTAGAGATGCATAGGCTATCCATATTGTCGACGTCCCATACTTGGAGATCAGGACAAATACTGTTTCCAACGCTTCCCCTTCTTCGACATTGATGCTCGACTGCTCATTTCTGAAGTTAGATAATTATAACTTGTCAGACTGTGCTCACAAACGAAGCCCGTTTAAGAAAGGAAGCGCAGAAGTTCCGAAAAAGAAAAGGCAACCTGAATACTCAACCAAGCCAGAATACTTTGTACAACGAACCTTAATACAGCAAAGTTTCTCAAATATCTATTCTCTCTTTACATGCAAAACCTACATCGCAGTTCAAATGCTCCTATCATAAATAGAATTGAAGGTCATTGTAGCACATGAGCTGGGCATGTCTTTCGACCACAAAGATGATTTGTCTGGCCCGCTTGACTCCCCAGATGCAGGGGAAGATGAATCCTTCGAGTGAGCTTTCAGGCCTTCCTCAGCAATTAGACTCATGAAATCTGAAATTGACCCAGGTCTCGATATCTCATTGTCATTAACCTTAGCTAAGCCCATTAGCATATTCACGACAGTCGACATGGATGGTCGAAGCCTCGGTAGACCCTGTGCGCAGAGAAGACCGATCTTCATGAATAGGCATGCCTCTTCCCTATGATGTTCCCCATCCAGAGATGCGTCCACTAAGCTCATTAGCTCCCCTTTTTCGTGTAGCTTCCATGCCTATAACACGGTGTACATGTAGTAATGCTAGGTTTTCATAGTACTGAGCTCTATCTTCAGATAAACATGTTGGTAATGTGAATGGGCGAGAGATTTCTCTCCTAAGTACAATGATAGCTCAAAATTGTGGAAATTCACCAGAGAGAGTACAGAAGACTGGGAAAATAACATGAGAACAAAAAAAAGAATAAAGAGCAGAACAAAACGAAGAAAAGAAAGATTCATGCGCATCATACATGCCTATAATTAAAGTATTGCAATCAGTCCTAGGTAAATGATTCTGTTTAACCAAACAATGTAGTTGGTTTATACAAGTTAGCACAAACTAGCATCCATGAAAGTAGGACAACTAAATTATCACAGAGATGGAATTTGTCCCTCTAACCAGCAGCTTCGTTAGATTAAAAGTCTGTATTGTGCTGTATGACTCGGTACAGGACATGGGCAGTTTCCGTGAAGGACTTGGCCAGGATTGGAAGATAATGAGCAGCAAATTTTCTATGCTTTCTACTGATTTTCAGAGATTAACAAAAGGGGAATCCTTGTGATTCAGGGATATAAATAAGCTTCTAGTAATAGGAATCTACAGGATGAGAAGTTACCGTTTCAAGAAGATATCGTTCTTCAGCTGGTAATTTACGGTTTGTGTTACATCTCCCACTAACGATTTCCAAAAGCAGTACCCCAAAACTGTATATATCTGCTTTATTTGTCAACTGACCTCGCATTGCATACTCTGGCGCCAGATAACCCCTGCATCAACAACATAGGCAGAACCATGTTATTGACCAAGAGCTAAGATATCGACAGAAACAGGAGGAGTTGCAGAAAGAGAAAGAAATCAGGAACAAATGTTGAAGAATATCACATCTTTTACCGGTTTTAATGCATTCAGTCATGATTTGAAAACATATTTCCAGAAGCTTGATTGGAGTTTCTAAAACTGCTTTCTTTGGGCCCAAATACCCAGCTTTACTACATAAGCCAACATCTCCAGTGCAATCTCACCAACATATTCAGGTCAAACGAACAAAGAAGATACTCAAGTGACAGCAGAATTTGAATGCTTATTCAGCAGATGAAGCGGCAGTTCTAAACTGGGGCAAATAAGTTATGAAAATTTTCTGAAAGATTCAACTATATATTGACAGGAGGAATTGAGAAGTTTGTGATTTACACTGTTCCAGCAACACGGGTGCTGATGTGAGTCATGTTGCTCGGAAAAAGTTTCGCAAGACCAAAATCTGAAATTATCGGCTCCAGGTGACGATCTAGCAGGATATTGCTTGCTTTTATATCTCTATGGATAATTGGTGGTTGGACTTCCTCATGGAGGAATGCTAGCCCCATCGCCACGCCTATGGCAATCTCACGTCGTGTAGGCCATTGAAATTGGATGCTACTATGGGAACCGCCTATAAAGGAGAGAAAAATCTCACACCACCGTGGCTAATGGCAGAACTAAATATGCAAAAGTAAACTCACCAAGAAGTGTTTGTGAGAGGCTATTATTCTCGAGATAACCGTATACCAGAATCCTGTGCTCTCCTTCCACACAGCAGCCATGCAACTTAACTAGGTTAGGATGCTCTATATTTGCAATCATGTTTATCTCTGTCAAGAACTCCCGCACTCCTTGACTCGACTCCGCAGATAACACCTTCACGGCGACCAAGGTGCCATCTTCAAGTACACCCTGTTCACAAAAGTTGAGAAATTTCCAATTATCGCCCGATTATGTTACTCTTATCCATGAAAGAGAAAAAAGAACCATGACTATCGAAAAAGACACCAAAAATATGGCTCCTCTACCTTGTAGACAGAACCAAAACCCCCATGACCGATTTTGTTGGATCGACTAAAATCTGCGGTTGCTTTGACCAACTCTTCATACTTGTACAATTTTGTATTTTGAATTCCTGAAACCTCTGTACATATGAGAGAATCAATCAGAAGCTTTCTCGTGAATTGGAAGGTTGACAGGATGCATAAAGTAACCGACTGATGCTGCAGGATAATAGTTCTAAGATCTGACAAGCCTATTATGGATCTAACCAAGATTTACATCATTGCATCTCACATAGGAAATCCAACAGAAACGAATTTTCTTTATTTTATTTCACAAATCCATAACATAGACTAGGAATACTTGTGGCATCAGGTATAAAAAGGGGAAAGACATACCGTCATCGACCTCTCTGTTTAAAGAGGGAGCTCTGTAGCACTTGAAAAATAAAGAAAACCAAGGCATCGGACCGGCTTGTCCTAAGCAAATCAATATCTCCACCGAAAAATTAAGCCAAGATCTTCAGAGACGTCTTATTGTGAGACCGACCGTGCATTAAGATGAGTAGTCTTCCACACTGAAACCTGATAAAAAGGTGAAAACAAAACCAACACTCATACATCAGCCTAATACAGCAACAATGAAGAATTTACGATTCTGTTAATGTAAATATCAATTCCCCAGCATCTGATCTACCCTTAATCCCTCATCATTACCATCATCAATCGTAACTTATCAAAACAAAAAGACAAATTGCTCATTATGAATGTTCCTTCAGGATGAATTCTAAGTGATCCCCAACCCTCCAGCCTACGGTTTTGCATATCATTTCATCCCTAAGGAATGTTCAAATCTGAAGAACAAGGAAGCAACAGAAAGGAAAGCACAAGCTCAGATACTGTGTTCAGTTTCTCTAACTCACAACCAACAAGATTAGGCCCAATTCTGCTGATGCCCTCCTGCTTACCGTGGAGCCAAGCTAAACCGAACACAGACGAGAAGATTCAAAAATGGGAACTACCCTTTTGCTAAAAACCTCAGAAGCTATGAAAGAAGCGCATGCCAAACTCCATTGAAGCACGACTAGTTGCCATGAAGAAGAAGAAGAATCAAACCTTAGCTGCTATATCCTCCTGAAAGACGGCTAAAGAACGCTGGATAGAAAGAGAGAGGGAGAGGGAGAGGGAGAGGACACAAGCGTTGGAAGGATGTTTCGGAGGAAGGTGACCGGTCTACTATTTTAGGAGCTGGAGATGGGTCCAAGCTTTCAGCTGAACGTAATCAATGTGTAAACTCTTGACCACTTCCCAGCTTGAAGACGACCCGTCTCATTCCATCTCACTATTGATATCGTGTGAACACGAGTTTCTCTTCGTTTGGATAAACAAAAATAGTTAAAAAGCGACAGTGATTTTGTCCTAAACTATGGACAACAAGGTTTTTGACCTAAATACCCGCTTGTTTCAAGGAAAAAAAATATTTAAATAATATTTTCGTAATGCTTATATTGCTTAAGATAATTGATTAATAAAAAATATTTTTATTATTTTTGTGAACGATTAAAATATTTTTTGTTCATTTTTTTTTATAAGAGATTCAAGCAATAATTTCTAGAAAAATATTTTCTTCAAATCATTCGTTTTTCGCAAGGTGGATGGAACCCGAATTACTTAGTGCGTTTGACATAACATTTATTTTACACCCCTTATTTTGTTTAAATTTTATGTGACGTTTGTTTAATACTAAAAAAAAGTATGAAACCCCCTAGAAATTGCGAGACCAATTCTCACATGTGCATTTTCTGCGATGGCTTTGTACGGCTTTTGATAATTCTTTTAAAGTCGGGGAAAGAAAATTCAGGAGTTGACCTCAAAGCTAGTACAGAAGGACAAGAGCTGGAAAAGTCCGCTTTTTTAATAACCCCATTCTATCATCGAAAAGATCAATAATTGCAAGCCGTGCCATTTCCAGATCGATGCCCGCCATAAAAAATCAACGGTCAATGCCCACAGCACCCAAAGAAGAATTAAGACAAGTCTGTTTTTTTTTTGGTCGAGAATTAGACAAGTCTAAAGGCCCAAAAGTTCAAGCTATTTTTACATGGACGCGTTCACATGGACGCGTTCCCATGGACCTGTCCTTTTACTATTTCTCTTTCAACGAGTCACGTATCTGCGGCAGATCACTTTCGTGACCGGCAGCCAGCATCCCACGTACGAAATGCTCGCGCTTGACCCATCAATTCATGTACAAACTGAAAAAAATCTCCGAATCATTTGGGCACCAACCATAATACACGGAGGGCGCTTTTCATTTTCCGCGACAGCTCCGTCATTCGTCAATGGCACCCTCCGAGCCGATGGACCCGTGCAAGAATTTGATCCTTTCCTAATCAATCCCCTACCATTTTCCAATTTCTGTCGGTTTGATGGGATGGCTACGTTGAGCGGGAGCACATATCCGGTGCACGTTGCTTCCGAAATCGCAATTCGCCGTGCACCCGTCGATTTCCAAGTGGACATTTCAAATCCACGGTTGCGGTCGGGTCTGACCCTTGCTCGCCGGAGTGGGCTGACTTGGACTGAGATCCGAATCATCTACTGGTGTTCTCGAGGCCCGCTCGTCGCTTTGCGATGTGCTCTTCCAAGGCCCAAAGAAGGAAAAATCCATGCGGATTCGATCCAGACGAGTGTCGGACCCGACCCGTTGATAAGACCGTGAAAAAAGAGAAAACCCGAACAGCACACGCTCCGACATCATGTGAAATTCGAAAACATCTTGCCGCCGATTGTTTTAAAAGTCTAAGCTATTACGCATGTGTTACGAGTCGGTTGTTTGGGATCGATCCCGTACAGTTTCTTAGGCTTCTTTGGATCGTTGGAGCACCCAAGCTAAGCATTTTCTCGATCACTCACTAGCACATCCGAATCGTAGAGAGAAAAAGTCTAGAAAGAGAAGTTCTGGGAGAGAATGAAAATACTTCAATTGATTTAGATGCTTCAAATGAGAGGGAGAACATCCTCACTTATACAAAGACTCGACTCATTACAATCATTTATTGACATTCGATTGAGTAGCCGAGATCGTATTTTCTCATCCACCAACTACTGGCATTTATACCGAGAACTCTTTAGAACACGGAACAATTAACGTATCGCTCGTCTCTGAGAATGTTCCGGAAGCTCCATTAGGGTTTGGTCAAGCCTTTGGCGATGTTGCACTGTCCTTGGCGCATGGAAACCTCGCAATCGCAACACATATACATGGATTTAGTACAAATAATGCTCTAGCGGTAAGTCAATCCTTTTGGCTTATGAACCGTGAGTTTGTCATGTTTTGGCACCATCACGGATTGAGTTCACCCACAGCGAAGATATTCGAGTAGGAAGGCGCGGAATGGTTTCATGGTGGCGATGGAGGTGCATGTGGTGATCGACGATAGCTGATGTAGAGGTGGCCACGGGCCGGTTTTGGCCCGGAACCGGACCGGAACCGGCCCGGTCAAACCCGGGCCCGGCCCGTTGACCGGGCCCGCGGTTCGGAACCGGAACCGGCCAGTGGCATACGGTCCCGGTTCCGGTTCCAGAAAAATTTGAACCGGCCCGGAACCGCCGGGTCCGGGCCGGTTCTGCGAAAAAAAAAAAAAAAAAAAAAAAAAAAGCTGCGAGGCTACAGCCACGGCCTGCGGTGCGGGGCTCGAGAGCCATCTTTGCAGCCATTGCAGCGGCTGCGGTGCGGGGAGAACGGGGACAGACCAACGGCCCAACCAAAAAAAAAAAAAAAAAATTTTATTTATCCGCAGCAGGCGCAGCACCTTGCGGCTACGGCCCGTTGGGGCAACGGCTACGCCCCAACGAGCGTTTTTATAATAATAATAATAAAAAAAAACACATAACCGTTGCAATTTTGCAACGGTTATGTTTTATTTTTTTTAATTCTAAATTTTCTTCTATTTTTTTTCTATAAATTCTCTCAAATTCTCACAATACACACACAATTCTCTCAAATTCTCTCCAATTCTCTTCTCTCAAGTCTCAAATTTTCTCAATACTCGAAATTCTCTCAAATTCTCTGAAATTCTCTCAATTTTCTCAATCCACGCAATTCTTTCTTAATTCTCCCAATTAATCCGCTCAATTCTCTCAATCCATTCGAAAAATGGCAAGTGGAAGTCGAGTGCCAACTGGTAAAAGTAAGAATATCGCGACGGAATCCCATCATTCTTTTGATCCTCGTGAATATGCAGATTTTCAAGATGATGAAATCAACATTTTTCACGATGTGGAGCGCATCCCGACGCAAGAAAGTTTTCATCCTCCTGCCGAAATATCTACAACAAAGGAAGCGGAACGGGAATTTACATTCGACATTTGGAATCACTTCACGAAAATGGAAAGGTTTGATATCGGTCAAAAAAGGTATGATATAATTTGTAAATATTGTGGAAAAATATATAAATATACAGGTGGACAAGGATATGAAACATTTAAACGACATCTTATGAGCAAACATCCAACCGAAACGGGAATCAATATCGGGCAACAACAAATTTCCGGGTACGTCAATCCTAACACTTCCCCTTTATTTTCGTTTTAATGAAAAAACTTATAAGGAAGAATTAGGCAAATTTATTTCCGTTGAGCATTTAGCATTTAATTTTGGAGAAAGATTTGGTTTTAATGAATTTGTACAAAAAGCATGTGCTCCACAAGCAAAACGAGTTTCTAGAAATACAACTAAACGAGTAATTAAAGATCTTTACAAAAATGGAAAAAATGATTTACAAAAATTTTTTATGCAATTTAATGGATGCGTGCATATAGGTAGTGATATTTGGAGTGATCATTGGCAAAATCATTCTTACATGGGCATAACATGTCATTGGATAGATGACGAGTGGACTATTCAAAAAAGAGTTATTGCATTTAGAGTTTTCGATGATCATCATACGGCAAATAATATTTATAGACTAATTAGGCAAGTTTTAGAAGAATATTATTTGCTTAACAAAATTTTTTCAATTGGTTTTGATAATGCCGCAGCAAATACCGCTTCAATTGCCGAGTTAGAAAATATTTGTAAACCCGCTTTTGGCGGAAAATTTTTTCACATTAGATGTGCTTGTCATGTTTTAAATTTATGTGTACAAGATGGTTTGAAAACTCTTGATATTTTTCTTCAACCAATAAAAACGGCGATTCAATTTTTATGGAAACATCCCCAAAAAATGAAAGAATGGGGTAGATTTTGTAGAGATAATGGCAAAAAGCCAAAAAGATTTCCAAGAGATGTTCCAACTCGTTGGAATTCTACTTTCCACTTGCTTAATGAATCTTTAGCATATAAAGATTTATTATGTGCATTCATTTCTAATAATATACCTAAGATTAATTTATACCCACAGGAGTGGCATATTTGCCAAAAAATTTTAGATCTTTTAAAGGTTTTTAATGATGCAACTTATACTTTGTCTGGTGTTTATTATCCTACTACACATTTATTTTTAGTAGAGTGTACTAATATTGTCGGAACTTTTGATGAATATGAAAATGATGTTGAATTACAACATACTATAGTTGCAATGAAAATGAAATGGCTTCATTATTATAGTGAAATTCCCATGATTTATTTAGTTGCTTGTGTTTTTTATTCGCGTTGCAAATTGGATGGCTTAAATGATTTTTTGTGTGCGTATTATCAATGTTTACATTATGATGTGACAAATGTTACAACCATAGTACGTGAGGTTAAAAACGTAGTAATAGAATTATATAATGAATTTTATACTAAATATAATTTAGGTGATATTAGATCTTCTCAATCTACGGAGATACAAAATGACAGTACAGGTAAAATTAGTAAAGGGTACCAACTTTTATTACATAGACAAAAAAAACAAAAGGGAGTAATAGGAAATATTTCTGAATTAGAGAGTTATCTAACCATTTTATTTGAGTTTCATGAGCTCGGAAGGTGGTACAGATTTTTTTATTTTGGATTGGTGGAAGAGGCACGCAAGCCAATACCCAATCCTTTCTCTTATTGCAAAACAGATTTTTTCAACCCCATGTTCCACAGTTGAGGTCGAACAAGCATTCAGTGCCGGAGGTAATATTTTGAACGAACATCGTTCAAGATTATATCCAGAATCAGTAGAGATGCAAGCTTGTGTTGCTGATTGGACGAAAGCTCAATACCGGCAACAAGAGATAGATCGGAATAATGAATCCGAATTCTTTAACGACGGAGGTACTACCGCTACCACTATCGGTACTGGAACGGGTAGTGACGATTGAGGGTAAAAGAACTATTGGAGTTGGCAAATATTTCGGGAACTCTTGTTTCTCATACCAGGTACGCCCACGTGAGCTTAGGGAAACCGAAATATAATCCGACGATATGTGACCTCTGGTCCCCTGCGCACGGAATGCTTAGGTTTTGGGATAATTTTAGGGTATATATATTGTACTCCTTTTTTTTTAAGATCGTTGTAACGAATTGTAATGTGCTTAATGATAATTTATTAAGTTGAAGCCCTTTCTTTCTCTCTTGTCTTTTTGTCCCCAAATTTGAGTACAATTTACATTTTAATCACAATTTATATTAAATAATGTTCTATCACAAGAATAGTATTTTTTTAATTTTTTTTATTTTCATTTCTGTCTTTCCTTTTCTGTTTTTCTTCTTTTTCTTTTCCTTTTCCTTTTCTGTTTTTCCTTTTTCTCTTTTGTCTTTTTTCCTTGTTTCTGTTTTTTAAAATTATAATTTATATATATATTTTTTTCTTCCTCCGCTGCCGCCGGCCGGCCATGGCCGGGGCCGGCACGGAGGTCGCCGGCGTCGGGCGAGGGGCCCTCGCCGGCGTCGGCGAGGGGCCTCGCCGGCGTCGGCGAGGGCGGCCCTCGCTCGGGCCGGGCGAGGCCGGCCTCGCCGACGCCCGACGCCCGCGAGGCGAGGCTCGGCCTCCCCGCAACCGGCGAGGCTCGACCTCGCCGGCGTCGGGCGAGGCCGGCCATAGCCGGGCCGGCGCGGAGGTCGCCGGCCTCTAGGCGAGGCGGCCCTCGCCGGCGTCGGGCGAGGCCGAGGGCCGCCTCGCCTAGAGGCCGGCGACCTCCGCGCCGGCCCCGGCTATGGCCGGCCGCGGAGGAAGAAAAAAAAAAGAAAAGGAAAAGGAAAAGAAAAAAAACAGAAAAAAATAGGAACCGGCTCGGAACCGGCCCGGAACCGGTTCCGAACCGGAACAGGCCCGGAACCGGAACCGGCAGAGGCGGTTCCGGTTCCGGTTCACACTTGGCCACGAACCGGAACCGCCGGTTCCGAACCGGAACCGCCGGTTCCGAACCGGAACCGCCGGTTCCGAACCGGAACCGGTCGATTCCGAACCGTGGCCACCTCTAAGCTGATGCGATGGTGCTGTGACGAGGTAGTCATTACATATAGGGATGAATTAATACACGTAATGCGTAACATAATTTTAAAATTTTGATTAACAAATGTACTCGTGTCAGGTGATGAACTTAATGAATTTAATACTAAAATCAGATTTTTAAAGCTGACAGTAAATGGGACTAATTCTCAAAAAAAAAAAAAGCACAATTTTAAGTTTAATTTTGATCATGTCCTGAACTTTTTTTTATCTCGGAAAAAACCCTAAACTTTAAGTTTAGTCCCAAATCCGTTCAAACTTTTTTTTTTCTTAGAAAAAACCCAAAATTTTAGATCTATTTCCAATTCTGCCCCAAATTTTTTTTCTTTAAAAAATATCACAAAATTTCAATTTATTCTTAAATCTACCATTATGGTCCAGTCCCAACTTGATGAGGCTTTTCCACGTCGATAACAATTTTACATCGGCAAGGTGACATGAAAAATTATCTCTAAAATGAAACCGTTCTGCGATATGAAAATTAGGGATGAGTAACGGCGATTATTGGACAAAGGGCTAATGGGGCAGATGTGGAACTAGAGTAAAAATTGGTGATTTTTTTCTTAGAAAAAAAAAAGTTCGGGGTAGATTTGGAATTAGACTTCAACGTTGGGTTTTTTTTAGATAAAAAAAAGTCCGGGGCAAAATTGAACTCCACCTAAAGTTTGGTAAATTTTTTTAGACAAAAAAAATTCAGTGCAGAATTGGTTCCGAATCTAAGGTTAGTGATTTTTTAGGGAATTAAGCCCAATAAAAAGTGGAAGTTAAATTATAAGGATATGTTCATTAGAAGTCCTAAAATTTATTACCAAAATGCATTTGAATCCTAAAACTTGCTAAAAGTGCAATCAAGTCCTAAAACTTATTAAATTTATTTAATCAAGTCATAAAGTTAACATTGTCTAACTTATTAACGAAAATGTTGATGTGATTTTTTTTTTATTTTTTTCCATCATATGTGGCGTTTACATTACTTTTTATATTATTTTAATATAAAAAATTTAAATTAAATTTTAAAAATAAGCTAAATGTTTATATTTTTTTTTGGGATAAGTGCACTACAAGTCCTAAAACTTACTCTTACCCAAAAAAAAAAAGTCCTAAAACTTATCACAAAAGTGCATTTGAGTCATAAAACTTGCAAAAAGTTCATTTGAGTCCTAAAACTTGTCAAAATGGTTAATTTGAGTCATAAAGTTAACACCGCTAGATTTACTAACGGAAAACGCTGATGTGGCACTGACGTGTCATTTTTATTATTTTTCTTGAGACACGTGGCGCCACGTCAGCAAAAATAAAAATAGAAAAAGCTGTAAAAAAACCAAAAAAAACCAAAAAAATGAAAAAAAAAAAAAACAGAACCGGCAGTGGCCAAGCCCGGCGGCCACCGCCGATGGCCGCCCCCATAGCCCCCGGGAAGGACCGGCGGAGGTCGCTTGGGCCTTCCCAAAGCCCGGCGACCCTCGCCGGCCCAGGGCGAGTCCCCAGCGAGGGCCGGCGACCCTCGATCTGGGGGGCAACCTCCGTCGGTCCTTCCCGGCGGCTGTGGCGGTGGCCGCCGAGCTTGGCCACCGCCGGTTCTGTTTTTTTTTTTCCTTTTTTTTGTTTTTTTACAGCTTTTTCTATTTTTATTTTTGCTGACGTGGCGCCACGTGTCACAAGAAAAATAATTACAAAATGACACGTCAGCGTTTTCCGTTAGTAAATCTAACGGTATTAACTTTAGGACTCAAATGAACCATTTTGACAAGTTTTAGGACTCAAATGAACTTTTTGCAAGTTTTAGGACTCAAATGCACTTTTGTGACAAGTTTTAGGACTTGTGGTGTACTTGTTCCTTTTTTTTTTTTAAAGGAGAAGGGGGAGCTGAAGGCCAGCGGGAAGGGCTAGAAGCTCTTGCTGCCGTCGCCACCGCTACCACCCCACCATCGCGGGGAGGTCCCGGTGAGGCTGGGGCGATGGCGGGGAGAAACTGTAGAAGACGGGTAGTTCGCTGGATAATGTATTTCAATATTTTCTCTAAATTCAAGTTATCGTCATGTAGAAGAGAGAAAATATTAAAATAAATCTCGTCAACACCACCCGTTAGTAAATTGGATGATGTTACCTTTAGGATTCGATCGAACCAATTTTACAAGTTCTGGAACTTGATTACACATTTTTGCAAGTTTTAGAATTCGATTGCACTTTCTTGACAAGTTTTAGTACTACTAATGAACATATCCCTTGATTCTAAATGCGAAAATCAGCCAATGGATACATTAGATCTAAATCGTTTAAAAAGATCTTCTTAAATTCACAAAATTCAGCAAGAAAAAGAAAATGGCTTGCCTACCTCCTCCTCCTCCTGTTGCTTCCTTCCTCCTGCAAACTGCAACTTTGGCTTTCCTCTCCCGTCGAAGTCAAAGCTCAGCCGTCACTCCTCCGCCTTCGTCCTCCGCAAAGGAGCTCGAGCTGGAGGCCGACGCCTCTCCGCCGGCGCCGCAACCGTTCCGGCTCGTCTCCGCGCGCGAGAGATCGATACTCCAGCCGCGACTTCCTCCCCCGCTTCGATGAACTAGGCCCTCTCCCCCCCCTCGGGCTCTCGCCATGCCCTCGTCTCCCAAGCTCTTCCACCAGGGCCGCCCCTCGCGGCGCAGATCTACCGTCCTGATCCTGGGCTGCTGCCTCCTGATCGGGCTCTCCGGGTTCGTGTTCGGCCTCGTCGCCATCCTCCGGCCGGGCAAGTGCTCCGTCCACGAGCCGCGATCGGTTCGAGTCGTCTGGGAGAGGGAGGGCGGCGGCGAGGGCGGCTCGGGTTCCGGTGGAGATGGAGCTCGAAGTGCTAGCCGTCATAAAGTGATGGGCTTTGTGGGGATTCAGACCGGTTTCGGATCGGCCGGTCGCCGGAGATCCCTGCGCCAGACTTGGATGCCGTCCGATCGGCAGGGGCTCCAACGGTACCGATTTGCTCCGAGAACTTTACAAACCATGTTCAGTCTCGTTTTGGAAACCATATAGGATGAGATCGTGCTGATTCAAGCTCATTTGGTAAAAATAGCAATATCGCTTAGATTCGAAATGACCTACTTAGGTTCAATGGCCGGTGCATGTAACTGTAGAAGACAGGTAGTTTGCTGGGTAATGTGTTTCGAATCATTCCAGAGTCGGTAGTTTCTGATTTTCCTTTGACTTCAAATGGAGGTTCTGAGAAGCAATGGCGGAATTCATAGATTGAGTTGTAAGATTGATTGCAGGTTGGAGGAAGCCACTGGCTTGGCATTCAGGTTTGTGATTGGCAGAACTAAAGATCAGTCGAAGATGTCGGAGCTTAAGAGGGAAGCGGCGGAGTATGCCGACTTCTTGTTGCTGGACATTGAAGAGGAATACAGTATGCTTCCTTATAAAACGTTAGTATGGAGGTTATCGACTTTCTTTTTAATCTCCTTAATGGATTTTCTGAATCTCATTGTCTGTTTGTAATTGCAGGCTAGCTTTCTTTAAAGCTGCTTATGCACTTTATGATTCCGAGTTTTATGTCAAGGCCGACGATGACATATATCTAAGACCTGGTAATGAAGCTTATGTCAGACTCAATGACTGTTTTTTTTTTTGTTGATATTTTTCCGATGACCCTACAATATTATTTTGTTCTTGAAATTCGTCAGATCGGCTCTCATTGCTCTTGGCAAAAGAACGGAGTCATACTCAAACTTACATTGGGTGCATGAAAAAGGGGCAAGTTTTCGCTAACCCAAAGCTTAAATGGTTAGTCTTGCCTATATGATCACGGGACAATTTTCTTATCCATGCACGGCGTACTTTCCCATTTTTACTTCCTATTGTCTTGATGAAAAGAGAGATGACAGCTATTTGATGCTTATGGTCGAATGATCAATTGAAAATAGAGATTTATAGTGTCAATGCCCCATTTTTAGCAGAGGTGACAATTTTCTTGTTCGTCCATGCTGTAGTTTTTTGTTTTATGTTTCCCATGGTGTTAATGAAAAGAGAGATGACAGCTATCTGATGTTTCTCGTTGATCGAGTCATTGGAAAGAGAAAGTATCGATGATTTCCAAGGCCATGTGGTTTGTAGGTGCATTTATGTAGTTAGTGTGAGTTTCTTCATGACAAATTTCTTCCGTCTTCCCCTTTCTCCAGGGTTTCATTCTGTATTTAACTGATGCAGGTATGAGCCGTTGCACTATTTGCTTGGCAGCGAGTACTTCCTCCATGCATATGGTCCATTATATGCTCTTTCGGCTGATGTTGTTGCAAGCTTGGTTGCTCTTCGAAACAATAGGCAAGATCCCGAATCGACTCGATATATAATGTTTGATTACCTACATTTACTATTCTCACTTGTGGAGGGCATTGTTCAATATATCTTGTTTAGCAACTTGCTGATTGCACTGTGAATCTCCGCCCTTCATTGCCCCTAAGCAACATGGGATTGATCCATCACATGTGCATTATTTAAATGTGCTAAGCACGAAGAATTAATTGTTTGCGTGGTTATCAGTAGTTGGCACCGCATCAGTAGTAATTGCTAGGGTAGAGCTTGCCTAGCTTAGATTTCTCCTACAAATTCTTAAATCCCAAAAAACAAAGGCCTACCCCATTTGCACTCTTAAAAAAAGGAAAAAAAAGGTCTATTGAATCTGTGCTTTTAATACTCTGTCTAATGGAGGTCTTCAATGCTCTAGTGAGAAGATGCAATCATTAAATGGAGACTAAGGTTAAAACCCGTAGAGAAAAATTTAACGAGACATCAAAGAAGATGATAAGAAAAGCTACTGATGGAGATTTTAGATCCTACAGAAGACTTGATAAAGAATTGAGGACAGTGATCTGAAAGGATTCACATAGCCGAACACACTTAGTAGAACGAGGCTTAGTTTGTTATATTGTTATTACTGAGCTTTACATGATGTTTTCTTAGTAAATTAATTTTAGGAAGCATAACAAGGTAAGCATGAGAAAATAAGTTTTTGGTTTAGCAATAGAGAAATAGATCTCGGGACAATTGTGCCCATTATTGAGGGTAGCATAAAGGAATGGGAAGTAGAACTGCCAAGGGTGGAGTGCGTGTGGATGTACGGAATAAGAGAGCATGGTAAGATAAACTTTATTTTGCTATGCAGGAAGAATGTTAAAAAAGCAAAGCCCTGATACCTGTGAATATGTTTCCACATGTCAAAAATTGCTACTTGGCATGTTGCATTTCTTTTGAAGGCCCTGCATCACTACTTATGTTATCCACAATTGTCAGCAGTGCGACACTATTCTGTTCTGCGAAATTACTACCTTTGTATCTCATAAATGTCTTCTTCATTATTCCAGTTTCCGGATGTTCAGCAATGAGGATGTTACAATTGGGTCATGGATGCTTGCCATGAATGTCAACCACGAGAACAATCAATTGCTCTGTGAATCAGATTGCACCACATCCTTTATTGCTGTTTGGGATATTCCAAAGTGTTCAGGTGAGCAGCTCTTACAAACACTAATCTCAATTGAGGTCCAACATGGTAGCTTATTTCTGTTTAAGTCAAACTCGACAACCGACTCTATATATTGATAGTGGTTCCAGAGCATACAACGACTTTTGGTTTTCGCTAAGTTCTTTCGATCGTAGGGGTAAAATGGATGTGTAAATAAGTATTTGGGAATAGATCTTCTAGAGGTATGCCTAACAGTCAGTTTTAAATGTCATTCAGGGCTCTGTGATCCAGAAAAGCGGTTGGTGGAACTTCATCAGAAGGAAAGATGCTCAAGAAGCCCTACTATGCCATCTGACGATGATTAGCTTCCCTCTTTCCATCTTCCCAGACCCCTTAATATGAATAGCCAGGTTCTTCGGCCGCTCGCTTGTGAATCAGTATTGTTGCCTCCACACGTCTTCTAATTTGTGGATCCTCATTAAATTCATCTCCTTTTTCCCTTTAACTAGTATAGAAACTTGAACAGATACATCGATACCTAGTGGTCACTAGACAGACACCTCCAGAATTAGAAAACGCCAAGGAGCAGTACTTGTTAGCTTCTCAGTCTTCTTTTTCTACCATTCTTTTAGACCATTGTCGAAACTTTTAAAATTGAATGTATTCTTCATTAAACACATTTGAATATGAAGTATTATTATTTCTCATACTGATGTCTCCAAGTGAAGGGCGCGTCCGAAACTGCTCCCTGTAGGAGCTCTCTCCAAGTTTTCTCCGTCTGGCCAAATAATTAGACGAGTTCGCTTCAAATTATACATCTTTTCAAGAAGAGCTTGATGTTTTATGGAGAACAGGAAAAAAAAACTTGAAGTAAGAGGATTAATAGTGATTTTGCGTGCATTTGGCAAGATTAGCTTATCTGCACCAGTGCAACTTTTCGATTGTTTGCCTCGGACAATATTAGCGAGGTGCGACGCTGGGGTCCAACGATTCTTTCATTGACAAGGCAAAACCAGACCTGCTTCTATCGGTGCCAGTTTTCTCTTCTGGTGATGCAAAATAGAAGCAGGCTCCCTTTGAATACAAGGTCTAGTAGGCCCAGTTCCATGATTAGAACTCTGTTTAAAGTCTAAGTAAAGGTAAGGCATGAATCGGTGCTGCAAACGGGAGTTCATTGCCAGCCTGGTTCTGTTCTTTTTCAATGATTAACTCACTGATGATCTGTTGTGTTCATAATCTTTGACTCCCCCACTCAACATGCAGATGAAATCTAATAGCTAGAAAGATCTTTTTGCCCCCTTCTTGATCTTTTTTGTACACGTGGATGGTGGAACGGAGCGAACATTTTTGCGGAGGTCAAATCGACGATCTCCTACTCTTGTTAAGCTAACGCAACATGTCGGGAAATCCGACGACAGAAATTATAAAAATCAAGTTCGGTTTTTGTCTCTCAATTGTTGAATGATTAGTCGACTTTCAGCTCCATAACTGGCATTAAAATCAGTAATTTCAAGAGTTTCCCCCATTTCTAACATTTTAGTAGACCTCGAGCTTAAAAAAATGAAAAAAAAAAAGGACAAAAAGAGAGAAAAGTGCATTAGATTAGAAGTTCTTAAACTTGTCACCAAAGTATAATTGAGTTTTAAAATTATAAAAAAAAACTCAATAAAATTTTAAAATTTATTACGAAAGTGCAATCGAATCTTAAAACTTTCAAAAAAATACAATCAAATCCTAAAAGTTATCACAAAGTGCAATTGAGTTTTTATAATTTTCAAAACGTTCAACCAACAGAAGGACATGTTTAGATGAATATGACAGGTTTTAGAACTCAATTGTATTTCATGGCAAGTTATGGGACTAAATTTTACTTTTTTGAAAGTTTTAAAACTCAATTGAAATTTCGGGATAAGTTTCAAAACTTCGAATACACTTATCCTATTTCAAAAGAAAAAAATGCCCTTATCCAAAAAAAAATAAAATAGAAAAACCTGTTGAGGACTCTACTAGCAAAAATTACACCAAAAATCGGAAAATGCCGCTTAAATATCCGCGGGGCTGAACCGTCGCGTGTCGACGCTACTAACTCATTTCTCTCTCTCTCTCTCTCTCTCTCTCTCTCTGCCATCGACCTCCCTCTCTGCAATGGCGAGCAGTAATCTCCCCCGAAGGATCATAAAGGTACTCCGTGCTCTTCCGATCTCTCTCGCTTTTCACTTCCTACCTTCGGCCTCCATCCCGATCGCTGTGCGAATTCACCTCTTCTTCGTTCTCGAGAGAAACCGTACTTTTCACGACCTGCCTACTGTCGTCGTTCGTTCGCTCGCTCGCTCCTTCGTCGGAACGAGACCGTCCGCTTCGATCAGCCGTGTTGCCGTCGATGTCCAAATTCAGCTGAACAGGTCGCGTCGCGCGATTCGGTTCAGCTAGTGCGCTAGCCGAGTGCTGCGTGCGCGTGTGTTTAGGGTTTTCGGCTTGATCGGTTCGCGGCTCCCGGCTCTGTTGCGGATCGATTCCGAATTCGGTTTTTTCTTTTTTTTTTTGTGCGGGATTCGCTTGTGCCTCGATCGAGTCGAGCGCTAACGTGATTTTCTTTTCCCTTTCTTCTCTCTCTGTCTCTGTCTCTGTCTCTCTCTCTCTTTGGCATCGCTCCGGTGTTGCGGCCGAGCAGGAAACGCAGCGTCTCCTCAGCGAACCCGGTAAGCTCCTACTCATCAGACAGACTGCTTCTTCGTTTCGCCGTCCTGTCCTTCGTCCAGTAGTCTCTTCTGTCTTGGAATCTTAAAAAGGCTGTCTTGTACTTTGATCTATTTTGTTTTGGCGTTTCTAATTTATGTCGTGAGTTTCGTATCTTTCTCCATTCGAAGAGACTCTCTCCTGTTGGGCGCCCGTTTCATGCTCCTCTCCTTTAATTGTCCATTTAGAGACATTAGGAGAGTCCTGTAATTCGGTCGAATTGTTAGATGTATTGTTTGAGCAACTGATTTCTGAGATCTGTGGTACAGCTCCTGGCATCAGTGCTTCACCTTCGGAGGACAATATGCGGTACTTTAACGTGATGATCCTTGGCCCTACGCAATCTCCTTATGAAGGTATTCAGTTAACCTGATGTAACTATGCACACCTTCCTGTGATGCATACAGACGTTCATGGAAGATGTTACCGAATTTAATCAGTTGAACTCACCTGTCTGCATAGGGTTTATTTAGCTGTGCACTTTTTTTTTTTTTTTTGGGGTGTTTAAGGAGTGGGGAGAGCTGTTGGTGGTTGTTATTGACGGATTGATTTGCTCGCTAAAATCCGAGAGACAGCAGACGCTTAGTTTTACACACATTTGTGCACCTGCATAATGCAAAAGATCGATTCCTGTCCTGTGTTATATTGGAAATAACTTCTCATAGGTGGAGTCTGTGGTCATCATTTTGTCCTAGATAGGTTGTCTGTTTTTTTCCTTCGGCAGGAAAAAGCATCAGTCCGTTCATGTCGCATCTACCCATTTTCGTTTAACCCATTTCTGCAGTGCATGCTTGTCCTTGATAATCTAGTTTTCCATGATATATCTTAGTATACCTCCATTTAACTTTCGAATCTCCTGACTACAGCTTCGAAAAATTTGTTCTGTCATAACTAATTTCATAGTTAACTTGTTTGCTTGTCCTTTTGCAATCTTTTTGCAGGAGGAGTTTTCAAACTAGAGTTGTTTTTGCCTGAAGAATATCCTATGGCTGCTCCTAAGGTAATTTTCAGTTAAGCACGGTCTTTTCTTCCGATATATAGTAACTTCTATCGTCATGGTATCTGCTGCTTGGTTCTTTCCAGCACAGAATCTCAATCACGTAGAGGTGCTAGGTTGCAAGTGCTCTGTATATGGGTTGTGAAAGCTACATAATCGATTTATGCCTTGGTGTTGACAATGAAAGTTACAGGCTAGATTAAAGATAGCAACTTGCTTACCCAAAAAAAATAGATGAATAGGACATTGATTCATCTTTCCCTTTGTAATTTTTTCAAACTCTCTCTTTTTTTTCTTGGGTTCATGGTGGGGTAATGGCTTTCCTCTTGTTTCTAGAGCCTTTGCATTTCTGTCAGAACCGTGTCTTGACTCTTTGCTCGCTTTTACTATCTAGAAAGTTTAGCAATCACAGTCAATTTTTATGAATTGTTTTGGTCTTCCTTAGATGGTTCCAAGGGGTTGTTGATTTTTGGGCAACTTTAGTTGTCCGCAGTGAACCATGTTTAAAGTGGAGTAGGATTTGCCTCAGGTGGCAGGCAAAAAAAATGATTGGCTTACTGCTGTAGGTCATATTGGATTTCGCTTCATTCTGACTGCTGAGTGGCTCCCTCCAGTCTGCATGTTGCTTGTCTAAGTAACTCTTTTTACGGTTCATCTGTTAGCTATTCTGATTGATTTGATTGGTTGTGCGAACATATGCATATGGTTGATTAGATAACTCTCAGATGAAGTTGTGTTGCTGACTCCTGGGTCTTCACTTAAGTACTTTTGAAGTTTTTATTTGTCCTGAGGTTTTCAATTGCTTTATCCAAAAATAGTGGTGACTCGTGGGGTTTAGCTTCTAATCATTACTTGTGCAACAGGTTAGGTTTCTCACAAAAATATACCACCCCAACATTGACAAGGTACTATTACAATTTTCTTTTTCTTTTTTGGGTTGGAATATCCATCTGATTCTTAATGTGATTTTTCTTTCAATCAGCTTGGTAGGATATGCCTCGACATCCTGAAAGACAAGTGGAGTCCTGCACTACAGATTCGAACTGTACTTCTTAGGTATATTAATGATTTCCCTTTGCATATTTGAGACTTCTGGAAAGGGACTGAAGAGGCTGCATTGGCACTCTTACAATCTAAATAGCTAAGGATCACAAAAGTTCTTCCAAATTGTTATAGATGTAGATCTTAGTTTTGCTGGCTCACGGCATCCCTCTCCCTTTATCTTGTGCTTTTATTATGGAGGCTAATGCAATAGCATTTGTTTGAGTTTGTCATGCAAAACGGTGGTAAGTTTACTGTATTTGGAATTGAGGTTCGGCATGTTTATGTTGGATTTTTCGTACAATGGCCGATGGAAGTGTTTTCTGATGTACTGTTCTGCAGCATTCAAGCTCTTTTGAGTGCTCCAAACCCCGATGATCCGCTTTCTGAGAATATCGCTAAGCATTGGAAGACAAATGAGGCTGAAGCTGTGGAAACAGGTAATGCTATGTCTTTCGTGGTTTTACTGGGTCTCGGTAACTGGTTCTCCGATCATGCAGTACTTTGAATGATTGCAATTCAGATGACAAATTTTTATTAGCTGATTTGATTTTTTTCGCTTCTTATGCTTGCATAAATAATCACTTTCTATGGTCCAGTGGAAGGCCAAAATTTAATTTTCTGTTCTATCCTTGTTATTTGATGTACCCTCTTTAATTTGACCTTGCAGCGAAGGAATGGACCAGATTGTACGCTAGTGGTGCATGATGACGTTGGAGGAAAAACTTCCCCGAATTGAAATGATTTTCACCTAGTGTAATCTTATTCACTTTGGACTAAAGATGGAAATGGGAAGAAATGCTATGCCCATTTGATGTTTGGATATTCTTGTATATTCATACGGAGAATTAACTGTGTTAATTACTGTGTTCCCTGCTCCTTATGCTGGATAATTGCAGCTTTATCTTTACTTTTTAAGTATCTTATCATGGATTAGACTGAATATCGGGTAGTTATCCTTTTGGAAGATCACATAGTCGTCCTTTTCTTTTCTGAAAACGAGAACTTGATGTGTATACTTTCAGCCTCTAGTAGTGGTAGCTCTCGGGACTTTCAATCAGCTTTGTTGTCCAGGACTTGTACCACGAATGACTTTGAATTTGATGCGCTAACCCTCTACGCGGGTAAAAGATGACCTTGAGTTGGGTGAAAAACTATGGAGTGATCTCAACGGGCGCCAGGCCAGTCGAGATTTTAAAAGGCTTTAAAAAAGAGGATTTCACACCTAATGACTTCCCAATAAAATAAAATAAAATTTAGTGTTTTCTTGGAGCATCCAAAGTTGCATCTCGGGATAGTGTGGCAAGCTGAGTGTTTGATGTACATTTCAAAGATAATGTTAAACTGCAGTAGTGCAAGTGGACAGGAACTAAATCACGGTCTCCTCCTAACTAGTTCCTGATAACACTCCCAACGGGCAACGTTCTCCAAGCAACTACAGAATGCAATCCACATATGATCGACTGCATTAGGAGAACTTTGACGGCTATGAGAAATAGAATACTAACGGGATGATCATTCCAATGTACTGATGCGTCTGAATATCACAATTTTCACAGTTGAGCTTGTTCTCCAATACTTCCCTTGTTTTTCCTTTTTGGGCCAGTGTTCGACAGCATATTAAGCTAAGCCCCATCTGTTTGTCTTTCTCTCATGCGTTGCATTGTTCTTGTAAGTTCTCTGATAGCTTCTAAAGTCCCTACTAGTAGATATATAGGTTGCGGAGCTCGGCATAGATGCGTCTGCCGAAGGACATGGCGGAGAGAGAAGGAGCAATCGTCAAGAAGGGCAAAGAAGCTCTCAAATGGATAACTCGCTCTTTGAGCAGTATGGACTCCCGGTTGGGCTTTTGCCCTTCCAGGAATTGATTGAGGTGGGATTTGTGGAGAGAACCGGGTACATTTGGGTTGTCCAAGAGAAGAGGATCGAGCACAAGTTCAAGATGATAGGGAAGCTTGCCAGTTACGATGCCGAGATGTCCGGTTGCTTGGAGAAGAAGAGGATCAGGAAGCTCAAGGGCGTGAAGGCCAGGGAACTCATGATTTGGACCCCTTGCAGCTAGATCTTCGTCGACAACCCGCCCACTGGGAAGCTCCGGTTCAAAGCGATTGGCGGCCTCACCGTCGCCTTCCCCATCGAGGCCTTTGCCACCCGTGATTGATTGTCATTGCTGCGGCTTGCATCTAATTGTGGTTCTTTTTTGGATATTTGTTTTGGTGATTATGATGTCATTGTTCCGTCTGGCTTGAATCGATTTATGTAGTGAAACCAAATTTGCTCCATGGCATTGCCCTGATTGAAAGCTCATGAAGCTTGGTGAATGAAGCAATAATTCAATTCGACAGGATGACAAGGAATCTATATAGATAGAAGTAGAGACGTTAATAGGAAGTACTTCTTTTTTCAGAAATTCCTGGACGTCGCATACAATGTTACAGCCTCAGAATTGCCCACAAATTGAAAATAAAAATTCTCTCCCCCAACTTTAAGCTATTTTACAATATTCTCAAAAGTGGCCCGCCACCGCCGCAATTTGGTCCTCATCTTGGCTAATAGGACTCCACGCCAGGAGGCAAGATCCCCATGTCAAGGAGGACTTGTGCGCAGACCATTCTTTTTGGTGAGAGCCACTCTACCATTGTGCACGGCACCTTCCAAGATCACATCACCCTCGGGGTTGCTGCTCTCGACCAATTGCAGCTGGCATATCTCCTCCTCGTGGTCCCCGTCGGCAACCAATTTGTACTCCCCGCTCTTGCCGGCTACTGCCTTGGCCGTGACGGTGAGGACCCTTGAGGTACGGTTGTGGCATTCCAAGCGATACCTCGGAATCTGCACGATGGACATAGCTCTCTTTATATTTAGTCTACTGGCATACATATTGTTTGTTTGATAACGGAAACTAAGCAACATAGGACAATGTATGGTACCTGCTAGAGCATAGCTGACTTTGGCAGGCATAAAATGATTGGCTTACTGCAGTAGTTCGTATACGATTCCTCTTCATGCTGACTGCCGAGTGGTTCCCTCCAGTCTACATGTTACTTGTCTGTGCAACTCTTTACAATTCATCTGTTAGCCGTCCTGATTGATTTCATTGAAGATGCGAACACAGGCGCATGGTTGCTTATAAAACTCTTTCTGAGGAAGTTGGACATTACCAGCATTGCTGACTCCTCGGTCTTCACTGAAGTACTTTTTAAGTTGTTATTTGTCATGAGTTTTTCAACTGCTTTATCAGAAAATAGTGGTGACCGTCACTTGTGCAGCAGGTTACGTTTCTCACAGAAATGTCATCCCAACATCGACAAGGTACTACTGCAATTTCCTTTTCATTTTCTTGGTTGGAATTTCCATCTGATTTTTTTTATGTGATTTTCTTCCAATCAGCTTGGTAGGATATGCCTCGACATCATGAAAGACAAGTGGAGTCCTGCACTGCAGATTCGAACTGTTTTTCAAAGGAACTCTTAATGATTTCCCTTGCATATTTGAGACTTCTGGAAACGGACTGAAGAGGCTACATTGTCTCTTTAACAATCTAAATAGCTAAGGGTCAGAAAAATTCTACCAAATTGTTATGGACGTAGATCTTTGTTTTGCTGGTTCACGGCATTCACTCTCCTTTTATCTCGTGCTTTTCTTATCAAGGCTAATGCAACAGCATTCGAGTTTGTTGTCCGAACTGGTAAGTTTACTGAATTTGGGATTTGAGGTTCAGCATTTTTGTTTTGAATTTTTCATACAATAGCCGATGGAAGCATTTTCTGATGGACTGTTCTGCAGCATTCAAACTCTTTTGCCCCGATGATCCACTTTCTGAAAATATTGCTAAGCATTGTAAGACAAATGAGGCTGAAGCTGTTGAAACAGGTAATGCTATGTCTTTTGTAGCTTTAGGGGGCCTCATTAATCGGTTCTCCGATCATGTGGCACTTTGAATGATTAAGATTCACGTGACATATTTACCACATTTCGCCGATCTTATCTTTATGCTTGCGTAAATAATCACTTGCTACAGTCCAGTGAAATGCCAAAAGTTAATATATCTGTCCTGATCCTTTATATTTGATGTGCCCCCTTTAATTTGACCCTGCAGCAAAGGAATGGACAAGATCGTACGCTAGTGGTGCGTGACGACGTGGGAGGAAAAACTTCTCCCAATTGAATGATTTTTCACCTAGTGTAATCTTATTCACTCGGATGGAAATGGGAGGAAATGCTATGACCATTTGATGTTGGATATTCTTATATATACATACGGAGAATTGATGTGTCAATTATTGAGTTCCCTGTTCCTCATGCTGGATAATGGCAGCTTTATCTTTCTTTTTAAGTACCTTATCATTGGATTGGACTGAATATCAGGTAGTTATCATCCATTAGGATGATAACATAGACGTCTTTTTCTTCTTGATGTGTATATTTTCAGCTTCTGGTAGTTGTATCCGTCTCAGACTCTCCAACAGCTTTGTTGTCCAGGGCTTGTACCAAAAATTACTTTGATCTGATGCACAAACCCTCAATTCGGGTGAAAGAAACACTAGAGTTTTCTTGTAGCATCAAATGTTGCATCTCGGGACACCGTAGCAAGCTGAGTGTTTAAGCCATTAGTAATGTACATTTCAAAGCTAATGTTAAACTGCAGCAGTACGGTATCCCATGGTGGACAGGAATCAAATCTCGATCTCCTCCTACTCCTTCCCAATATTACTTCAAACGGCGATGTTCTTCAAGCAACTGCAAAAATGCAATCTGCCGTGTCTTTCCGATGAGGATGTCCCGTCACCGATTTATTATGATCGATTGCATTAGGAGAACTTCGACGGCTATTAATAAAATGCCTACCAGTAGATTTAAGTCACGGAGCTTGGGACAAGACACATCTCTGAAGGCCATGGCAGAGAGAGAAGGAGCAACCATCAAGAAGGGCAAAGAAGCTCTCCAATGGATACTCTCTCTCTCTCTCTCTCTCTCTACGAACAACATGATGAACTCCCGGTTGGGCTTTCGCCTTTCAAGGAAATGAAGATAGGGGGCTCGTTAGTTATGACGCCGAGATGTCCGGTTTCTTGGAGAGGAAGAGGATCAGGAATCTCGAGGGCGTAAAAGCCAAGAACCTCATGATTTGGACCCCTTGCGGCGAGATCGTGGTCGATGATCCGCCCACCAGGAAGATCCGGTTTAAAGCCAATTGCTGCCTCACCGACATCTACCCTGGGAGGCCTTTGCCACCCGCGATCGATCCTCATTGCTGCAGCTTGCATCTAATCGCGGTTCTTTATTGGGAATTTATTTTGGTGATTATCGATGTCATTGTTCTGTCCGGCTTGACCCGGATATAGTAATCGTATTCCATACATATAGTGAGAGTGGATTTGCATCATGGCATTGCCCTGATCGTAAGCTCGTGAAGTTGGGTCTATGAAGCAATGATCAGGCATTGATATACAGAACTTGAGACGTTAATAGGAAATTTTTTTTTTTCTTTTCATAAATTCATGGACGTCGCATACAATGTCACGGCCTAATTGCCCACAAATTGAAAATTAAAATTCTCTCCCCCAACTGTTAGTTATTTTAGAATATTGGCAAGAGTGGCCCGCCACCGCCACAATTTGGTCCTCATCCTTTGTCTAATCAGAACTCCAGGCCCGGAGGCAAGACACCCATTTCCATGAGGACTTGTGCGCAGTTGGCCAGAGACACCTTCTTGCTGAAGGCGAGTGGGTTGGCGAAGCGGACCGCCTGCACGACGCCGTTCTTATTGGTGAGAGCCACTCTAGCATTGTGCACGGCGCCTGCCAAGAGGGTGCTGCACTCGGGGTCGCTGCTCTCGACCACTCGCAGCTCGCATATCT